AGTCTGGGGGGGGGGGGGGGGGGCGTAACCACAATAATGGAAAAAAACCCAACACCCCACAACCCTTCTTTTGCCCAGTCCTTCATCCCATCCTTACTGTTGAGCATCTCTGAAGATGCACTGAAAGAAACAGTATTTTTATCACAACTCTTAGATCCCCTATATTGCCTTTTCATCTATAAGTGATAGGCCCAGAGTGATATCATTTTCAAAGGCATAATATTCTGTTTGCCTCCTTATCCCTTTCCGCCAGGAAACTTTTCTTGGGGATCTGATTATTTTCACCACACCAAGACACTATTCCTCTCTGGGACTAAGTCTGTCGACATCTCTCATTAAACAACCTTTTGAAACCAATATTACTTGCTCTCCTTTTGCATCCTTTGATGAAAGTAGCTGCAGTGGTTATTAATTCTGCTCTAAGTATTGCAGCAATGCAAGTCCTAATAGCCAAATCCCACAGTCATCTTCTGAAACAAACTCATTCCAGGTATACTCAAATCCCGTCTTAAAACTTACCTTCACATTCCATTTATGTCAGGAAAAAAAAATCAATAACTTCTTTCCCTCTCCTCACTGCCTCCCCCCCCACCCCACCCCAAAATTCCATACAATAACTTCTTCTACTGGTTGGGTTTCAAACATTCTTTATCTATGGAATGATGTCTCACCTCCTCATTTAAACACTGAAATTTATCAAACTATCATCTGCGTACAGCTATTCTTACTGTCAAGCTGTTGCACTGGACAGCACAATGCATCAAATCTGTTACAGGTAAAACCACACACATAAGCTGGTTCTAAACATGACAAAAATTTTAGAAGATTGATTTTCCAGTGACTTTGAGGGAGGATTTGGACCATCTAAGAAATTATTCAGTCTAAAAGAAAGATATTGCTAGTAGCCACCTGCAGCATTAAGGTGCATACAGACGATGCTGAGGAAAAAAGGGTTGCTTACTAGTAATGGCAAATTTCATGTTAAGTTATTGGTACGCATATTCACAATCTGCTCACATTTGGAATTTGCAGCTGTGAGGAAATCAGATTAGAAGATGCTCTCTACTTAATTTATCACCCACACTTAAAAATAACAATGTCCTCTAAAGTTATTAGTAGAAATAGTAAATTTCTATTTTAAATGGCAATGTATATGCATACCCATAGCATAGAACTGTGTAAATTCAGACAATATATCTCAAAGAATCTCCAGGTACTGAAGTAATTTTTTCGTTAAGATTAGGGAATGTTTTATAACATTCTTTTATACTTCACTGTTCTGGGCTCTGTGAACAGACATGTATGGTTTCAAGACAACACCAACAAAATATACTGCTGACATCTGAGCAGTGATCTATTAAAAAGAAAGAGTCACCTTTATCATAAGCATATAAGCAATCATATTATGCAGCAGTGTAGCCAACAAGCGGTCTTCATCATCCTCCAAACGCTTTCGATCATGTTCTCCCAGGGAAAGGTACCTGCAAGAAGAGCTAGATCTGAGGCAGACTCACAGGCATTGTTCATCCAATTCGTTAAAGCACTGGCAAAAGACAGAGCACTATTTGTAAAGTGTAGGGCAAATAAAACCTCCAAAACCACTAAGCCAAATGGGCATTTTCCAGGAAAACACTATGATCACTAATTAAAAATTTCCATTAATTATCAACTAGTTGAAGTAAATAACATCTGCTCAGTGGGAAAGTTCTCAGTGGTCTGCTGGGCTTACCCATTTCCTCTTTTCTGCAGTCACAGCTCCATGACAATTACAACTGCCAGAAGAACAAGTGACTCTGTACAAGAGCTACCTGCCTTTAGAGCTTAAATGCAGCTGAAAGGCAGAAGTAAACTGATGAAGGAAACACAGGCACTCTCTTTTTCCAATAAGGTAAGTAGATTGTGGAAAAAGAAACAGTTTTCAAACTAGCACCCCATAAACTAGTTCTTATTTTGGCTACCAGATCCCATGTTACATGATAGCATGGGTGTAGGTGGTACAGTGGTAGACAGAGCAGAGAATGATCAGATATTAACAGAGCTGAAGCGAGGGGGAAACCACAAAACAAGCAGGTAGTAAAGAGTGAGATCTTGGAAGTAGTCTAGCTTTAAGCGACCACACAGATATTTCTAGAGAGTGGTTCCCTTGTGGGTTTTTTGTTTGTTTCTTTTAACTACAAACTCTAAAGTAGAAACACCTATAAGTTACTTTGCGTTTTGAGAAGGCTCAAGATGCAGTTTCTGAAGACATTTAATTCTTTCACTTTATGTCAACAAACTGATATCTTCCTTTATTCCAATATATAGTCATCTTGCCACAGAAACCTCTTGCTTTACTACTAATCTAGTCTATTCCACCTATTCATACTGTGATTATGCTTATATTATCCATTTCTCTAGAAATATCACCTCTCCACAAGAGTTAAAAGATACATGTCACAACTGAAGATAGTATTTCAGTATCAGGAGATACTGGCCAGCACAGAGACAAAAGGCTCACTTTCGAACAGTCAAGTATAGTAACAAGGTTTACAAAGTGACAATAGCATGTTCAGCAGAATTAAAAAAAATTTTTTTTTTAACTATTTCAGCCCAAGGTGAAACAATGAGGAGGAAAGAGGTCTGCTAAAGAACTTTACCTGTCAATCATCTCCTGAGGTCCCTGGTCCATCCCCATTCCTTCTCTCTCTAACATCACAGCATCCAAAAAAGCATCTTCCCAGAACTGCATCTGGTCCCACAAGGTTGAACGCTCTTTGCCTATGCAACGTATACAAAAATTAAGCATTTATTCCATTTACTCCAGTCAAATACTTTAGTTCCTGATCCTTCCCACTCCTTGAAAATACCATAAGCCAACACACAATTAATCCATATTAAAAAAAAAAAAAAAGTTACTTTTAAACCACAAGCAATATCACAACTGAAGGAAAGTGTGAAAGAGAAGAAGAGACACATCTCTCATTCTAATTCAGGGCATAATCTTTTCAAACCCTTACACAGAAGTACCTCTCATCTCTATTCTTTAAGGAGTATATCTTCTTCCATATACTTTTAACACTGCCCGAAAGACAGAAATATCTTACACAAACACAGATCACGGCAAACACACAGAGAAGTGGAAAGATTATTACTCATAGAGAAGGTTTCCATTGCAGCATCCTCTAACTGGTCCCAGACAGATCCTTTATCCCTACCTGCACCATTCCAAGCAGGTAGCAATGATAAATGGAAAGGATGAAAAACACAGGAAAAGAGAGCTCTTAATTAACAGCAAGTCCAGATGAAATACATTTCAAAAAAGCCAATATACTCTTAATTCAAGGATACACTTGAAGGCCATTAGTATTCTGAGTTTAGTAGCCCTCTGTTCAATAACTTAAACTGAAGGATCTTTTTTCAAAATCAGTAATACATTTTAGCCTTTCATGCATAGCTAAGTAAGTTCCTTCTCCCCTTCTTCCAACAGCTTAAAGAATTCACGTTCAAGAGCAGCAAGAGACTTAGACAAACTACATTTTATGCAAACTACACCACTCACACCCATCTCCTTTTATTCCATCTCCCCTTATTCAACCTCCCCGGCAAATCTTTGGCTTTACTCTGAATGGCCTGATGCGGCCTCCTACCAGTATGGACAACAGTAAGTGGTTAAAAACAGTCTCTGGGAATGTAAAAATTCCTGTCTGCTCCAGACATGACTCCACCTAACTTCAGTCTAAAAGATCCCCTCCCCACAAAAAAAAATAGTTTACCCAGAAGTCCTTCATAGAGATAGACACGTTGGTTCCCATCCTCTGGACCTCTCCCTGGAGTACCACCTTTGCTATCCTTCACACTCTGCTTCAGGTTGTGAGACTTCGCCTGAAAATAATACAAGGAGCTGTCAGACAATTTAACTCTGCACCCTGCAGGGCTGTTTCTTGCAGTCCACTGTTGTGCTTAACAGATGCAGTTTGCAATCTATACTTCATAGACGCTTCTCCCACAAATGTTCACAAAACTAATAAATTATTCTGTTCAAAGAGCAAGGTAATACACTTAAAAGTCCAGAGTCTGACAAAGGAAAAACAAAGAGAGACAGATAGAGAAATCAAAATGCGGAGGAAGCAAAATGCTTCCCTGAAGGAAAACTGATACAAAACAAGAAAAAGCTAAACCTCTTCTGTCATCTCCCATATTTCAAGCTTATGCAGTAAGTTTGCCCAAATTTTAATAGCAAATCTTTCCCACTGTTTAGGAAATAGCTGAGTATCACTGTCATTGTGCAGATTGTGAGGAATAAAGGAAGAAATATGCAGCTTGCTCAGGACTACACAGAAAATGGATATTCACAAACAGAATAAGATTACCCAAGCTGTATTTCACATTCAGACTTTACAGGTTTCATTTACCATTCAAAAAGGTATGAAATTAAGCAAATGATTACATATCATCATGTCTGAAGAACTGTGCGCTCAGACTACCAGCCAGCAGGAACTGAGATAAAACTGGCCCATCTATTTCTCTCCCACCAGCTAAATTATGGTGCAATACTTGACATTCACCATACATCATATATACCCATTATCTTTGTTCTGTTGCAAGGGTTCTTAAAATTCCATTTAATTTCATTAATCAAGTAGAAAAAAATAAGTGTTTAAAAAAAAGTCTAGCTCTTTAGTAACTGAGAAGACACCCTCTTGCAGCTAAATAAGCAGACATGTTTACATCATTTTCATGCTTTTAGAAGAAATCTGCAATGAAGCACAATGATTTGTTTGTTGCTTAAAATTAGAAGTAGAAGCCCTGTAAATGCTTTTACAGTCTTATGAGGATTATTAAATAATGAACACAGTGAGACCAAATCTTAAGGCATTGCAAGTTGTTTTCATATCTGGCTGACAGCTTGACTTAGCCAAATCAAGCACATAATTATTTCCTTTGTAAGATGTAGGTTAGAGGTTATACCTGATAATCAAGGACTTTAAAAAAAAAAAAAAAAGAACAAGAAGTGCTCTCAGATCATTTGAATTTTACTGCATACAGATCTTCCAACTAGGAAAATATATTTAAAAGTTATGATTACACTTCAAATAGGATTAAAGTAATGATTTAAAGAAACAGAATAACTGATAAACCTACAATGGGTCATCACTTTCCTGTATCAAACAGCTGCTTCTAAGAAACAGGAAATCTGTTCCTCTTAGGTAAGGTTGAACAATGCCCATTGATGTTGTTTTGCCTCTGAAGGGCAATTACATGTCCATTTGGTTGAGAGAAATATTGAATGGGGGGGAATTAAATATTGCTAGAGCCTGTAACATGCTGCGAGATGTGAATCCACTATTCTCACAGAACCATGTATTGCACAGGAAATGAAAAAAGGTACATGGATCCATACAAAATTACATCTTTAATATTTTAATATTGTAAGTCATTGCTGATTAACCCTTAGAACAGAATCAGAGATCCTCTTCCACACATGCACACACATTGAAATGATTACTATACAAGATTTAATTAAAAAAAAAAAAGGAAAAAAGAAAAATAAAAAAGTGAAGTCTGCAATGCCCTTACAAAGATAGAGCTAGTAGCAGAGTTTGTCTCAATTTCACTGTCTGACACAGTGCCTCTGGATCCTGTCAAATTGCCACCATTTTCCACACTCGGGCCATCACCAGCATTGCTACTCAAGTCACTGTCTGCTCCTAATGTCTCTCCAGAACTGTTACTAACCTGTGGAGAAAAATAAAGAAGTTACCTTCAAAAGACAAAGACACGGTGGAGAGAAAAGTTGTAAAATGTTTCTTCTTAAGGCACAAAATACGAAGCTGTACAAATGAAGGCCACATTTGCCTTTTCTCCTTCAGTAACATTATCTTTTAATCAAATCCTACTCTGCAGAAAAAGAAAGACTCAAAAAGCCCTTCAGAAAAATCACAAAACTGTTTAGGTTGGAAAGGATCTGTCAAGATTACCTATAGACAAGCCCCCCTGTTCAAGCAGGGTCAGCTAGAGTACGTTGCTGAGGACCATGTCCAGTCAGGTTTTTAAAATCTCCACAGACGGAGAATCCACAGATTTCCTGTGCTTGAATTTTTGTGTTGACTGCCTCTGGTCCTACCAGTGGGTACTACTGAGAAGAGTCTGGCTCCCTTGCCTTCATTCCCTCTCATCAGGTATTTATACCCATTGATAAGATCCCCCCAAGCCTTCTCTTCTCCAGGCTGAAGAGCCCCAGCTCTCTCAGCCTCTCCTCTCATGAAAGATGCTCCAGTCCCTTAATTGTCTTTGTGGCCCTGAGCTGGACTCACTCCAGTAAGGCCTTATCTTTCTTGTACTGGAGAGCCCAGAACTGGACATAATACTCTAGATGCAGCCTCACCGGTGCTGAGTAAAGTGGAAGGATCACCTTGCTCGACCTGCTGACGCTTTTCCTAATACAGCCCAGAATACCATTGGCCTTTTCTGCCACAAGGGTGCATTGCTGGCTCACGGTCAGCTTGTTGTCCACCAGGAACCCAACGTTCTTCCCAGCAAAGCTGCTTTCTAGCTGGTCAGCCCCCAGTGTGTACTGGTGCCTGGGGTTATTCCTCCCTAGATGTAGAACTTGGAATTTTTGCCTTGTTGAACTTCATAGATTCCTCTCTGCCCAGTTCTCCAGCCTGTTGAGGCCCCTCTGAATGGTGGCACAATCATCTTGTGTGTCAGTCACTCCTCCCAGTTTTATATCATCTGTGAACTTGCCCTGTACCATCATTCAGGTCATCAGTGAAGATGCTGAACAGTACTGGCCCCAGTACTGACCCCAGGGGTACACCACTAGTAACTTGTCTCCGGCTGGACTTTGTGCCACTGATCACAACCCTCCGGGCTATTGTTCAGCCAGTTTTCAGTCCACCTCACTGTCCACTTACCTAACCCATACTCTGTCAGCTTGTCTATGTTACAGGAGACAGTGTCATAAGCTTTACAGAAGTTGAGGTAAACAACAGCTGCTGCTCTCCCCTCATCCACCAAGCTAGCCATCTCATTGTGGAAGGCTATCATGTTGGGTTAACCATGCCTGCCCCTTTGTAAATCCATGATGACTAGTCCCATTCACCTTCTTGTCCTTCATGTGTTTGGAAACATTTTCTAGGAAGACTTTCTCCATCACCTTTCCCAAGGACAGAGGTGAGGCTGGCCAGCCTGTAGCTCCCCAGATCTTTCTTGTTGCCCTTCTTGAAGATAAAAGTAGTATTGGCTGTCTTCTAGTCTTCAGGAACCTCTCCTAATCACCATGACTGTTCAGAGACAATCAAGAGTGGCCTCACAATGTCATCAGCCAGCTCCCTCAGCACTTGTGGCTGCAGCCCCTCAGGAACCATGGGTTTACATATATCCAAGTTTGTTGAAGTGCTCCCTAGCCTGGTCATCCTCCACCAAGGGTAAGTCTTTCTCATTCCAGACTTTTCCTCTGGTTTCAGGGTCCTGGGATTCCTGAAGGCCAGTTTTACTGGTAAAGACTGAGGCAAAAAATGCCCCAAGTACCTCAATCTCTTCTACCTGTCACCAGTTCCCCTGCCGCATTCAGCAGCAGGCCCACGTTTTCCCTAGTCCTTTCACTTGCTGCTTATGTACTTGTAGAATCCTTTTTCCTGTTTCCATTCACACTCCTTGCCAGATTCAACTCTAGGTCCATATTGGCTTTCCTAACCCTATCCCTGCAAGATAAGACAGCAAATGTTTACTCCTCCTGGGTCACCTGCCCCTGCTTCCACCTCTTGTATACTTCCTTTTTATGTCTGAGTTCAGTTAGGACCTCTTTGCTTATCCATGCAGGCCTCCTACTGCCTTTGCTTTATTTCCTACTTGTTGGGATAGACCCTTCTGGAGCTTGGAGGAAGACATACCTGAATATCAAATAGCTCTTCTAGATCCCTCTTCTATCTGGGGCAGTATCCCATAGAATACAATTACTGGGTCCATTAGAGAAAGATAATCAGAGTATTATTCTTGTTACAGGCTGGGAAAAGATCATGGAAAGCCAGATATTCACAGGTATGCAGCAGTTTAGAGAAAAGAAAAACTAACAACAACAATAAAAAGCAAAGTTCCTTGGGTTTTATCCCTGGAATACGCCATATGAGATAACATGTGGTAGGGAGAAGGCTAATTTTTTTTTACTGAATGCATTCCTGCTACTTTTTCCCTCTAGGCCCTATAGTTGATCGGAAAGCAAGCAGACATTTTGATAAGATTCAAGTCCTTTAAGGTAATACCTCAGAAAGTTTGTTCTTGTTTTTAATGCATCAAGCAATCTGCCTTTTTTGCTCTCAGGTTACATTTTTAAATTTCTATTCTTTATAGATGGTTTATACACAACTAAGGCATATTTATCAAATTATTGCAATCCACCAGTTCCATAAATACACCAATATGTAGGAATATGTAACAGCAACGAGCACCATATATGAAGGATGCAATCTGCTAATAGAGCACTATGTATGTTCTGTCAGACACACGTGCTTGCCACCCACTTGGACACTCTGGAGAGAGAACTCATAGACATACATTATGCATGTGTGACAGTATGGAGCCATACCACACAAAATGTAGGCACAAAATGCCCTCCCCCACTTCAGCAAGCCGTGAATCACATCAAGATTTCACTTTGGGCATATCCTACCACTGTGCTAACTTCAGAATCCTGGCTTGTACTTCGGACCATAACTGCTGGTCCTCCACTGGGAATAGAGTCGAAATCACTCTTCTGCAATCCAAACATATAAAGGACAGGAAGAAAAGTCACATTAGTTTTTATCATAAGGAGAGAACATCATTTCCCGACCCTTTGGGGTCTTGAATCACATGCCTTACGCTTCCTTAGTTTATTTAGCCAGCCAAATACAAACTACTGCCTGCATGTCAAAAAGATCACGGGGTCATACAATTGAGAAGTTCGCAAACATCAGTCTCCTACAGGAAGGGGAGAAGAAATTTTACTGAATGAGCCTTTCAAGTATGCTCCAAGCCTAGAAGTCTTCCCACAATTAAGTAGTGAATAGCAGAATAGCAAGCATAGGAGCCACTGACCTGAGAACCTGAGGCCAAACTGAGGCCACTGTCTGCACTGATTTGGGATTTTTTCTCATCCGTTTCTCCCAAATCAAAGTGTTTCACACCTTCTGGCCCTGAACAAAGGAAAAAGTATATCATTACTGTACCAAGAAAAAACAGCATGGCAGAAAGCAGATGACAGACTGAAAGCAGGAACAGTACCAAGAAAACAAATTTGCTTTCTCATTCCTTTGATTTTTTTTTTTTATTCCTTGGTACTGTAAACAACAAGGCCAGCAGGACACATCTGCCATTCTTCAAACGTTAGTTTGAATTTCAAATACTCCAAAGTCATAGTCCAGGAGTGACTACCACTAAACAGTACCTTTGTTAGCCATTCAAGAGAGAAAAGAGGACAGACAAAGGTCAAGTAGCTTTCAGTTACAATAACACATGCAGACCAGTTGCCATTCAACTCTAGGAAGCCACTTCCTTTATTCTTGGTAAAATAAAATAAACCTATTTACTTAAAGTCAGAATCCTTTTTTGAACAGTTAATTTGCTCGAAGTCTTGGACTGAGTTTGTTTGGTTGCCCGCAGCAACTGTCTAGGCAAAAAATCAGGCATTGGGCAACAAGAACATAAACAGCAACAACTGGTGTTACACCAGTAAGAATTTCAACGAAGAAGCTTGTATCATGCTGTACTTCGCAACATCCCCCAATTACATTAACAAATGGCTCTCCAGAGTTGGCAATCACGTAGGTCAGTAGTGAAAGAGGGAATCAGCAAGCTTTAAGTCATGCATTCATTAATCCGCCAATCCAAAAACAAAAAAGGGGAAAAGAAGATAAGGAACTTTATGTTCAATTTCCCATGCAGTTCTAGAATCATATAATCTGTTGTCCTCTGATGGGATGGCAGAAGGAAAAGAGAATGATGGAGAGGTAGAGCCTGAAAAGAAATCTGGATAAGCACTGAACGAGATAAATAACGAGGCAAGAAAAGAATGTGTTATAGACTGTACACAGAATGTCACTACTCTCAGAAAGGGGAAGAGACTGAATGCAACACTTCTGCCATATCCATATCTGCCAACTATTCAGTAACAGGAAGACATGATCAGCAGCTGGAATATTTGTATTATGTACCCATGACTATATCCAGTATGTAAGCAAACAATGACACTATTCTCTTAGAACCACTGATCACAATAACCTGGGAATTATGAACATGTTTGTATTATATGTAATATTAGAGAGGGTAAGACAGCGAAAAGGAAAGAAAAAGGGAAGGGAGGAGAGAGAGAGAAGGATAATATACAAAGATTTGTGGGAGTGAGTTTGAGATGGTATGTAAACTCATGAACAGCAAAGCCATAAGCGGGCTGTGCAGACCATACTAGCTTACTACTCGACCACCAATTCTCCATGTGAAGGGTTTTACAGAAAGTGTTCTTGATTTGTTATAGCATTCTGCCTAAAACCATATGCCTTAGTTACCATAAATGAAATCATCCAAGATTCTGAAAAAGTATAAACAAAAATTACAAAAATAAAAATAACTAAAAATATCCTTTCTAAGAATTTGGAATCTTATTTTCCACTGAAATATACATTGCTCGCTTCTAGAGGTCTATTTCCACTCCTTCAAATGGCCACCATTTCTAGTTCTGAATAATGATGCAGCAAAATGTTTTATATCTCATTACTACAGCAAGAATACTAAACTTCAGCTGTGTGTACTTTAAGCAGTTTAAGAGTTCCCTGTCCCAACACATAATTCAGATATATTTCTGGCAATTTGACTTTTAAAGCAAGTGAAACTGACTGAAGCAGTTCAGGTATTTGACAGCTTTGGGCAGTACTGGTAACTGAGTTTGAGGAGCACAACAACCACAATCACATTGTTGTCACTATCAATTTACAGGCACTTACAAACCTCCCCTTCCCTTCTTTATGGAGTTGTATGTCTAATACACATAAAACACTAAAACCTCAATTTATCCCTCCCAATGTAGGCTCCTACCTGAAAGGCCTAGTTTGGGAGAGTAGGTGTGTTCATGTGCTATGTGTGTCTTACACACACTCCTACCTCAGCAGAAAGCAATTCAGATCTTACAGCAGAGGTGCCCCATTTGCCCCATTCTCTCTGAACTAACTCCAGATGCTCACTTGTGCTTAACTGAAGTATTTAACTGAGGACCCTAAAACTAATGTAGCAAATCCAGGCCTAGTCAGAATGTCAGGAATTTTCACCCTTAGCTATTAATCCTTCCCAACCTTCAGCCTTTAAAAGGGCATCAGCTCTGCAAAGTACAAACTACGCTTATGGTTAGGAAACACCTACCACATCATGGTTATTATAAACTAGCTATTGTCCTTACATCATGTGTTCCTATTTACAACAGTGATAACCAAAAGAGCAAAACCTTGTACTACACCTGCAGATAATATATATTCAATATTTTATTCAGTATCATATTTCAATAGATGTTAAGATTTGTGTAGATTTAGACTACTATTTAGACTCTGCAACAGCCTCCGACTATTTCATCACTCCTCCTTTAACATGGGATATAAAAACCAAAATCAAGTTGATTCCATATTATGAGGCTATTCTCTAACAGCCATCACTAAATACAATTCTTCACATACACCTTCTCTCTCCCCCTCAAAAGTATGTCTTGTTGCAGACTGACTGTGGTCATAAACTGTTCATAGTTGATGCCAGGTAACAAAATCTGCCATTCCACGGCTTGAAAGAACAGAGAATTCTTCATTCCAGTAACATTCAATCAATCAACCAATATATTCATATCAAAGACTTGTTAAGTCTTAAAACTGGTCTTTAACTTTTAATAAAGGAGATGGAATATCTTAAAATCCTTCCACATATGTCTGATACGGTGAGGATGCAGAATATCTGCTTCCCCTTCTTTGAAGAAGGCAACATTCAGGGGAGGAAAAAAGAAAGGGGGGGGGGAAAAAAAAAAGAAAAAAAAAAGAAAAGACATTTGAACACAGTTTCCCCAGGACAAACTGATCTGTTTGGCCTCCTCAATTATGCAGGCTTTCTTGATAGACCTTTGTTCTTGTGGTATAAAAACCGTATGCCATAGATGCAAGCTCACCCTGCACCTGGGGAGTTGGCAGTTATGGGGAGGCTGGAGGAGTCAGTTTCTACGTTTTTTAATTTCCTTACTCGTTTTTTCCAAAGATTTTTGCTTTTTCACTTCCTGGTGCTTGTTCCACAATTCTACCCAAGATGCATTGAAAGCAGGAGAGAAAGAGAAAGAGTCAGCGGCTGGTCAGACAGGTGAAAATGGGGAAAAAAATTTGAAACAAAAAACCCACTCCTTCATCTCAAAAAAAAAAAAAAAAAAGGCAAAAAAAAAGCGCAGAAATTTACAACAACTACTGACCGAAGGGTTAATTAACACCATTTTACAAGAAATCAATGTTAGGAATCGAGCACTGCATCATCTCTCATCTATAGAGAATTCAAACGTTTGAGATGACTTCATACAGTGAACCAACTAAGGAAAAATAGCTATTATGAACACATATAATGCAATTAATCACCTTCCCTGAGAAAGCCCTTTAAGACTGTCAGATACTTATTCCTCCAAAATGTAGGCATCACAGAAGCTCTAATTAACAGAAACATTTTAATGTCTCTAGTTTATATCATTGAAAGGAAAAGGCAGAAAAACCAGCAGCAGCAATTCCAAGAAAATTAAAACTGTAGGTTAACACAACATTTAACGAATATTATATCTTAAAAATTATCACAAAGTTTACAAGTACAAGTTACTTTTGACTTGAGAGCATTCTCAATAAATGCTTGGCTCTGCCTATCAACCAGTCCTACATGCAAAAGTTGAACTTCTCTGCACCCACTTGTTCCTATCAGGGTATAAAGAATGGAAAATAGGGAAGAAGAAAAATGAGCAAGATGCTTAATGCCAACTTCCAAAATTCAAAATAGGTCACACCACTCCAATCAAGTCAAGCAATTCCATAAGAAGATACAATGCAGAGAAAAGGAAAAAAGTCTGAAGTCTGCACGTACTCTTTTGATTTGAAGCTTAGCCCTGAGACGAAATAGTGATGAGGCACTTGCACTTTTCTATCACTCACATTCCTCAACCCTCTGAAATGCAGTCATCTTTTCTGCTCAGAAACATCAGATCATTCCAGGTGCTGGCCTGTTGGCCAAAGGAAACATCACAAGGTGACATGCTGAACTGACTGAATGCTGGGCACTGTCCTTTCTCACTAGCACCGTTAAAGCTGGGAATGCTACAGAGGAAGATACTCTTAGAAAAGCAGAAAAGGCAAAGGGAAGGAAAAAGAAGTACAATGTTCTTCTGCTGTTCCTCAAGGAAACTTGCTGAGCAACTAAAAGGTCACTTGAAGTGTGTCAGAAACCCATCCCACCCTGCAAATGGCAGAAATTAGGGCAAGACAGGCTCTAAAAAAGTTCTATTTAGCAAAATGTCTACTGAAAAAAAAAAAATAAAAAAAGGATAGTATTACGATTGTGGAAGAAGGCTCCACAGTATTATCATTAAAACGTATCAGGAGCAAGGTAAATGTAGCAAGGGAGAAAAAGCTCAAAAGACAGTTGCTAGCCAACTGATTTCTGTATCTGCTTCATGATTGATGGATGTTCCTTCAACTTTTGTAAGTACACAGATGGATAGGATAAAATTGCTTATGGATCCAAACAGCATCCTATAGGCTTATCTAGCTGAGCATTCACTGACACAGATAACAATCTCTTTAAGATGTACTGAATTTGTTTGTTAAAGGGCTTTGAAGACATCTGGCCTCTTAAGTGCTCAGTCTATATGGCTTTACTTTAAAAACCACCAGACAGAAAGCTGTAATACCTGCCATTAAATTACTTTTAGCTGACTTGCCTGTTAATTCAGGGTAGACTATATCCTAGCACATTAAAAACAGCCTAGATTTTACTGTCAACTACTTTGTCAAAGAAGAAAAGGAAAACTTCAAATAAACTCAAGGGGCATAAATTATTATGCCTATGACTTTGTTACATGAGCCTGAGCTAAACAGGACAGCAGGTCCAGAAAGAATCTGATGCAGACGAAGTAGGTAGCACAATCTTTTCAGTTTCAAAACCCTGTCAAAATAAAAGTGCCAGCATTAAACAATTATTTTAAAAGGAGTAATGGAAACTTCAGTAAGTACTGACATTTTCATTAACAGTTACTGCAAGTATGCAGTAAAACCAAACTAATCAGTAACGTAAAGGGGGAAACTATTAACTATCAACTTTAAAGCCACTGGTGTCCTAATAAGGCGGCCAACACTACAGGTGATGACCATGGACCCTGGAAGATAAGAACCCCAGAAGTAAGCAAATATTTGGTGATCTTTTAAGAAATAAAGTATCAGAAGCATCATCTTCACAATTAATTTCCTAGCTAAGCAATTAGGTATTAAAGCACAACAAAGATCAATCCTCAACTGCTAAAAATCCATCACTCTTCACCTCAGAAATAAGAATTTTGAATACCAACAGCCTTCCCTGTTACCAGGGAGCATCCTACATACTTCAGAGGTACACAAGAAACCAGAAACTTTCCGAGAAGTGAATAAGAAAAGGGGGTCAAGCAGGAACACACCCACCCTGAACTTTGGAAAACTCTGTGAACCTCCTGGCCGTTGTTCCTGTAGTACAAGAAAACTGCACACGTTCAGCTACCATACCTCTAGGTCTCAGAGACACAGTTTAATTGCCACACTGACATACACTTTATGTATGGCTATTGCAAACAGTGCTGTACATGACTTTACTCCATCATGCTGATGACTTACTTTCATTCTAGTATTTCCTCTTGTAGCTAGATCAAAAGATTAGCAGCCCAATTTGTATTTTGTCCATACAATACCAATAGATTCATTGAGAGTTTTATTTACATAACTGCAAGCTGAGGCTGTAAGCACCTTCCAAACTTCATAGGATCAAGGAACTCCTGAGGTTCAAAGGAACCTCTGGAGATCATCTAGTCAAACCTCCCTGCTCAAAGTAAGGTCAACTAGAGCAGGCTGCCACAGAACCATGTCCAGTCAGGTGTTCACTATCTCCACAGCTGGAGAATCCACAACCTTTCCAGTGTTGGATCATCTTCACGTAAAATATTTTTTCTCATGTTTAAATGGAATTACTTACAAATACTTTGTTATTTCAGCAACATCTAAATGTTTACCAAATGCTTCTTCCCTAAAGAAGTTAGTTTGAATGAGAAAGTCTGCATTTCACTACAGAAGGAATTTCAGCCTAGCCATGACTAACTCTGGTCCTGTATATCCAAAATATTGTCCTATACTGAAGCTTCCATAACAGAACATAAAGGCAGTATAAGAGCCAAGCTGCTTTAAATTATCTTCCTGCAACACAAGAGAAATTTCCTTTACTTCTAGATCTCAAGAGTCAAATGAACATGGACACTACATTGTTTTTACAGCAATTTCTTAAAGACTGACTTGCATACTAGTTCATGGTTCTTGGTGACAGACAAAACCAGTTAGAAAAAAAGGCTTCAGAGAAAACATTAGTGTCTTTCGAACTTTCATCAGTTTTGGTGAAACCATATCCTTCTTGTAACTTAATTCCATAGAAGACAAGTGGAGATCATTAGAGCATCAGAACCACCAATAAGAATTTACCTGTTGCCTGTCCTTGAAGATTGCAAATTGTTTACGGCTAATATTCTGTCAACAGTAGTTAACATATTAAGTAATACTTCTTTTGAAAAGCACTTCTTATGATGCTTCACAAACATGGAATGTCTGATCTCTATGATTCCCATTTCTATGAGGCTTTGATTTCATCTGAGGGGAAGAGCAGTCTCAGCAATCCAATCAAAAGATCTCTCTTCATTCTTTAAAAGAATGCTGGCCTAGCATCTGTTTTATTCTTAGTTGTGTCAGAAGCATACTTTCCTTTTTCTCTTTTCCACAGAAAAGAAATCAAGTACCCAGAGTGAACCAAACCACTATAGTGAAATGCTAGAAATCTGAATCTCTCTTAGCTCCCTGATAGATTTTCAAAGAGTGCAAGACTAGTTTCTGAGCAACTGCCTCCATAGATTACCTCTTGAAACAAGAAAGCAAATCAAGTCACAAGGGGTTCAGTGTCAATTCAGAAGGACTCAACACCACTCAGCCTGCAGCTGTTATGTGGGTATAAGAATGAATGTCTGCACTCCTGCCACGTAACTACCCAATACACACATTCCCTTGTCTTATGCCACATACTGCAGGTACAGCCTCACAGTAGCACGCTGCTTTCAGAAGATTAATCTTGCATACAATTATTCCATTAAAAAGTTATTTTAAACATGCTGTAAGAAGTGATGGCTAAAATTTAACACGACATATTTTTGGAGCTGACAAACAATTTCTCTCATATGCTGATGGTACTTTTCTCTTGTTTACAATCCACAGCACGTTGGATCCAACTAAAAGATTTTTTTTCTCTTTTTTTTCTTCCCACCCCCACCCCAAAGAAATCTGTAAAGCCCTTTTTAGGTAAAACAGTTTAAAGCCTACCTCTAACTTTTCCCCAGACATAGGGAAAAGCTATACCAGCTAAGAAATTAGACTGGGAAAGTTTCCAGTGACCAGCCTAGCAGATGCTGTTTAGAAGGACACACATTCTATTTACTATCGCATAGAAGGAAGATCCATCAGTCCTGCTCATTGTAATACAACAACTAAAATCTTTTTGGCAGTTTTTATCATTAACAATCAGCAGATCCTGGGTCCCACTTCTATCAGGATGCAATCTAGATAATCCACAGGTAGTCAGCAATGATTGGAAAACTTTTGTTTCCTATAGTCCCTTCTGCCGCTGCCCTTTCCAAAGTCCTGCTGGCCCTGTTTCCCTTTTGCCATTTCCTGTTGCTTGAAAACATCAATCACAGAGCAAAAAATAAAGTTGTCTAAAGTGTAATGAAATTCATAAGCAATTAAGATTAGAAAGCTTCTGGGAGAAAACTGCCTTGGATAGTTTATCCAAGAGTAGAGTGAAAACACCTATGATTGTTCCTTGTCATCCAAGGTGTAAAATGAAGCATGTTACAGCAGCAATGTAGTGTGTTAAGATGGAGAGAATGCAAATAGAACCTAATGCCAGAATAGAAGTCCCTCCTGCACTTCACAGGCACCTCAATACACACCAATGGAAGCAATAAAATTTTCTTCCTTTAGACTCCTTGTGTCAAATTCCCTTGGCCCTTTGCCTGCAGGGCTCGGTGCCTTTGGCATTAGCTGAGGTACTGGCAGCTGCATCGCAGGTTTTGGCTCCACTCTTGGGGATGATGCAGGATCCTTGCCAACTGGAGTGATAGATCCATCCGTTGGACTTCGTTTTCTCTTTTCTGGTTCTTTAAAGAAAAAAAAAACAAAGTGTTGGGAAAAAAAAAACCAAAAACAAACATAAGGAAAAAGGAAATGAGAGCAGGAAGATGAGACAGATGGTCTCACCTAAATCATTAAGCCTGGCACTGAAACAGCTCAGTCCCACATTTGTTCCCACAGGTCACCATGGCTTGCAGATAGTCTGACACACTGGTGGAAACAGTAGAGGAGAAAGCCAGAGTGCTGTTTTGGGGATACTCAGATTATCTCCTTCCTGTATATTTGAAACCTAGGAATCTTCTTTGACACAGTAACTGTAGTATCTCCTCTGCTGAAATGTCCAAAATTAAACAACTCTGCCTAAACTACCAAGAATATCACTTCTAGAATATAAGCAAGCTCCTCCTGCAGTGAAAAGGTGACAAATACAATCATCTTTGATGGGTAACACTAAATGAAACTTCAGTTAGGAAAAAAAACAAAAAACTATCAGCTATAGCTCTCATCATTCTCTGAGACTTCCTATAATCATATATCCCCAAAGGCAGTTTGGATTATTTCTCTGCATCAAGATCCACAGTTTGAATTACAGCAAAACTTTCAGAATAGAATAATTAAAATTAGATTTTTCCGTAAAGAATCTCCTGCAATCCTGCACAAACTGTTCCAATAGCTGATGAGGCCAATAGTCAAAATTTCATATCCTAATACCTAAATTTGTCATACCACTAGACCTTGTGATATCTTTGTCCAGTAGATTAAAGATTCTGCTATCAGCAACACCTTTCCATTTAGCTAATAATTGAAAACAATCAACACCTATCATTCAATAGACTGAACACCTCCATCTTTCAGAACAAAAGTGTTTTTCCAATTCCTTGTAGGTCTTTTCAGAAACCTCAGTTTTTCAAGAGGTGATGATCAGAACTGGAAGCACTAAGTCAGCTGTGGGTCTTGTTAGTGACATATCCACAGACAATAGCTACATCCCAAATCTCTATTCCCAGGTTTACACAGTGGCCCCCTCTCCAGGTTTTACAGACACAGTAAATAGTGGGAAGTTCACACATAGCTGCCATTTTCAGAGACGTTGCTTCCTAGAAGATAGTTCCCAATCCTACTCTTGTTGCCAACTGTCCTTACTCCTAAACAAGTCCTTAGTTTGACCATATTAAAATAACTACCACCATGCTTTATTAAGATTCAGCTTCCTCTAGAACAATAACCTATATCCATCATGTCCTGTTCAAACAGTATGCATCATATGCAAACTGAACAATTTTAGGATTACTAGATCACCACTCTATGTTAAATAACATTAAGATAAACACTAATCTCTATAAAACATTTCTAGAAATATCTGGATCGACTCATGTAAAACATACTAAACAGCTAAAATAAATCAAGATGTCATGCAATAATGAGAGAAGTCCTCCAAAGATGTATCAAGGCTTTAAAAGTTTATATCAAATTTTGTCTATTTTGACCACAATTAATCTACTGGGTAAGCTCTACTTACCATCAAATTATACTATCTGGCATTTACATTATCAAGACTTCATCTAAAACCATTTTGTTTTAGATCAGCCACTCTATAATTTTGCTTAGGATTAGTGTCAGACTAAAAGGCCTATAATTACCAAGATCAGCCTATAACCCACATTCAGGACTGTTAAACTAGCACAGCCTTCTTTACCTTCCTCAGCATTCTAACAACGACTGGAAATGAACACCTGTAACCCACAGGGCATCTAAGCCAACTCGTAAAATCCCTGATGCAAGCCACTCGGAACACCAACTATAAACTGTTTAGTAGATTTTACTCCTCTGCTACAATGAAATAAATAGCTTTTCATCATTTGAGATTACAGCTGAGTCAGATATTAAGCAGAGTGGTAGCTTTCTGTCATCTTTTGCTCTTTTTCCTTACACATGCATTTTCTTATTTTGCATTAAGAATCAGATTTTAAGAAAAAGCTGAAAAATATAGAGGTAGTTTCAGACTTTCCTCTCCAAGAGTACTTAGTGATATAAGAATCATTGTGTAATGCAAGGTAGTTGGTGAGATAAGTCTCATACAGTTCCACATTAGAAATATCTCCGTCCCTATTCAGGTTGTCTGCAATAACTTTCCAAGACTGTGGTTGGGACAGTGTTAGTTGAAGGTCCCCACTCTCAGAATTTCCACTTCATCTGTAAAAGCCCCAGGTTTTGTATCTTACTGCATAATTCCCATTTTCAATCAAATACCCAGTATGACCATTATTTTGTTATGGTCCAGTCACACGTGTGCAAGAGAATGGTTTCAAGCTTTGTAAGGTTTCAGTAACAATGGTACAGTTCTCACCTGTTTTGAAAGTGTCGTAAAACCCCTGAAATATCTGAAGCCACAAAACAGCTACCTTCACAATAAGGATCTCATTTGGTTCGTAAACATTGTATTCTCATAAACACTTTTCTTACCTTTGTTGTAATAGTGAGTATGTGCTATCTCTAGCAGGCCAAAAACACTGGCCATGCCTCCCAGGCCAGCATTTGCATATGACTGCTCCAGGCTCAACACAGTGCACTTCAGCAAGTCCAGCATGCCTTTATAAACCTTGCGGCTGATCTCCTGCAATGAAAATCCCATTAGTGTTGCTATTTCAGAAGTGAGAAAGTAATTCAAGAACATAAATTCCAAAACTGCTGTAACATCAGCTTTTAGGAGGCAATTTAACAATAACTTTCTATGAATTGAGCCTCAGCAGACACTAGGTATGAGGACCCTGATGAGTTCAGCACTGACCACATCCTGTATGACATCCTGCCGAGCATCTTCTTCTGACTGGATTGTGCGATTCAGCTTGCTTAGTACAAAGACACGGAGCTGCTCACTCTCCAGCAGACGTCGGACTCTTTTCATATTCAGCCAGCCAACACCTTGCCCATCAAGAACATTGTGTACCACCTCCTTCAGGAACTGCTGGTTCTCACTGATGGATTTAAGAGGAAGCAGGCAAAAAGTTAGCCCTCTGCTTACCTCGGCCAGGACACACACAGAAATGCATTTCCTATCAAAGCTAAGTTTACAAGAAAAAAGTTCAAATCTAGCTATGCTTGCTGCTAACATAACTGCACACAGCCCAACCTCTGTTCTATAGGTGTAGCATCAAATATTTTATCTGTTATTTCCTATAATAAGCCGTAATCAGATTTTCCTTTAGTCCTTCTAGCTACCACTCTACTCCTCACCTTCACAGCACTCCTCAAAAATCTATAGGAGCCCTCTATGCCACAACCTTCTCCCACAGCCACCTTGTCTGACCTGTAGGCTTTCCTTGAAAGAGGAAGCACAGCACTACTAATAGCACTACTGCAGCAGCCTTGGCACATGTACTGCTTCAGCTTGTTTTGCCACAGGGGAGGGAATGGTAAGAAGGGAACTCCTGTGCAACCTGCTGCATTCCCCAGTCTGAACTGCAGTTATTGTTCTTGCTTGTCTCCCAACCCAGTAGCTCAAAGCAAATTTCACTCTACCCATGACTACTACATAAGAAAAGGAGGAGAAAGCACAGGCACAGGTCAGGTAACGTTTACTTGCACCATTCTGAGTCCCCTTCCCAAGGCTGAGAAAAGTGTTTCACATGAATTCATGGAATCAAACTGCTTCATATGACTCAGCTGATCCCCTGCATGGTGCATTAAGACTCCACTGGCTAGACTACCTTCAGAACAGACTCAACTACAAAGAATAAATACTCAGCTAAAGTAGGGACCTAGAATTTTTGGATCTCAGACAGAAAGAGGATACATTTCGGAGCATAGAAAAATATGTATGTGTGCTATTAACTGTAAGACCATCCACACCAAATCTTCTCAGACAATAAGTGCAAGCTTAGGGCCATAGAAAAGCACTATTTAGTTTTCAACAGCTAGACTTCTGAGGAAACATTGGCCAAGTATGAGACCACTCTAACAACACTTTATACTCAAAAAAAGCAATGAAAGATATTACCTGGAATTGCTAGTTCGTCCCTGAGGTGATGGAGATTCTCTCTTCACTGTCGGGCTGTGCTTAATGACTGAAGACTTTTGATCCACAAGGGCTCGTCTGTTTCCTAAACAGGAGAGGAAACAGCATGAGAGGAAGAGGTAGGAAGAAAAAAAAAAAAAAAACTGTTCCCAGGACAGTAACAAGCAACACTAAGGTTGGCTAACATACCTATTCGGATTACAGGTAACAGACTTCAAACAAAATGGAAACTCCAAAAAAAGCAGCAGCGTATATCATATTCTAGCATCACACATCGGCAGAAAACAGTAATGGGAGTAATGCAGAGAGAAAAAGAGAAGATGGTAATGGGAGCAGAAGGTGAAAGGCAGGAAAAGTTTGGCTGCTCTGCATGCAGTTCTACAACAAGAACCATCTTCAAATTAGTCACTATATGTAAAAGCATAATGCATTGGGGGTGACTAGTATAGATCATGTGGTACTGGTTACCCAGTGAGAAAGGTAGCCCAAAGTCAGGCATAGGGAATGCTGGAAATTGTTATATCATGCACAGCTCATGCTGTAGGGAACCCACCTTCATTGCTTACTGGGCCAGCTTCAGTAATAATCTCCATTATAGTATTTAACCCAAATACTGGGACACAAAATATACAATTAGTAGTGTACTACAATTCTACAGTCCCCACCATCAGCAGCAAAAGAATCCAACTACCAGCTTCTTCCCAGCCCTCCCTCAAAACAAAACCCAAATGACACTAGAGCAGGAAGGATGCTTGAAAGCCCAAGACAACAAGGGCCAGTGTAATTAATCTTAGAGATAGTGCTTGACTTGAAATTTGGCATTGTGGAACCAATGTATTGCATCTTCAAGGACATTATTGCATATATTGTATTTCAAGGGCACTATCAAAAACATCTGCATCACTGAGGAAAAAATATCAATGGATGTGCATGAAATAAAAATTAAAAAGGAAGATGGAAAGTGGTCAGACAGCAGCAATGAGATGGAGTCCCAGCATCATTTCCCATTACAGTTAGAAAGACAAGGTACCACACACACTTGGTAAGAACAAGTTAATGCAGCGATTTTATACCTGTACAACAGAGACAAAAACATTTAAGAAACAGTGAAGTGCCCAGTGGGAGTCCCAGTGACGCAGCATGCACACGTAAATGAACACAAACACACACACACACACTTGCACATGCATAAAAGACTGAGCTACTCCACGGAAATCCCATCCTCATATCTGCATAGTAACATTAAAGACCCTACAGGATTACAGTAGTCAAGAAAGAACACCAAAGTGCAGAAGACGAGGTGCAAAGCATGAACGTGGAATGGCAAACCCCATCACTGTTTTCTTCCAATGCATGGAATCAGTCATTAAGTTTACCCATGGAAATAATCCTGACATGAAGCATGTTTCTTATCCAGTACAATTGGACATAAAAACATAACCAACTGGTAAAAGGTTGTCAAAAACAGCTGTGCAGAGTTTCTGCTAGTGTTTTCACCCTACCAGTCCTGTTCCTCCTCATTTTACACACAGGGAATGGTTACTTGTCTCAAAAACAAAGTCCAAAGCAGAAACACAAAAACCAGCTTTTGGCCTTTGTTTCTACAAGGTCTAAGGTCAGCAAAACATCATACCAACCTTCATCCACATCCCTTCCCACTTCCAGATTAAAGTAATCTTTACCGATGAAAATGATGAGGAGGAAAAAAATAAATGAAAAAAAATCAACATATTAAAACAAAAGCAGTAAGTTCTAATCAGATAGAATAACTCAAAAGGTAAAATAAAACCTTTCCCCAGTTTAGCAACTGAAAAGGTCTCAACACTAAAACTCCAACATGTGCTCAGTCACCCCTTCTGTTATTACATCTGGTACAAGGACGACCAGGCTGACTAACTCCCCACAGTAAGAGGGTCATTTCTCTAGTGCCCATCCACACATGTTATCTAATGATACTGCAGACAAACACGAGATGTTCCAATGAAAAGACTGTGCACATAAGTTAGGGATCGATCTTCACTCTGAATGAGCTGAAGAATGGTTATAATTTGATTTTGATCAAAATTTTTTATTTAGTGAACTGAAGAGACTATAAACACTTTTGAAACCCACGTAAACTGCAGTCTCCATGGGAAACTGGCATTAACCCCACTTAGAAATGCAGCATCATTGCTCTAACAAGTTACCTAAGGCTAATCATGAAGATAATGGCAGTGCAAAAGTAGGACCTACCTCTTGGTTCCCATTCTTGACACTAAGTACTTAAAAATAAAACAAAACAAAATACAAAACAAAACCAACATTCACAGTGTATCCATTAACACAGGCTAGACAAGCCAGTCTCCCATCCCAACGCAGCCCAATTGTCAGGAGGAAGTCTGACTGAGAACTAATCAAGACAATTTACTGTCTTGATACTCAAGACGGGTACTACCCAAACTGCCAAAATGCATCACCCCCAGGATTCCTGTTAGGGGTAAGACCTCAGACTGCCAAGCCACAAGAACTGTAAAGGCTGTAGAAGTCAAAGGGAAAAACGGTTACCTTTCAGGCTAGGAAAGGGAGTATTCTTGTCTCTCCCAACTTTGGTTGGTAGGGCTAAGTTGGACAGACTGAAGCTTGTGCTGTGGTTTCTGTACAGGCTGCCTATGACAGAAGAAGAAAACAGTTAAATGCCTAATGCTTGCTGCACTCACCCAAACTTCCTAAACCTCCTGTAATTCACCTTCTTATTCCAGATCCTTGATGATTAAGTTGTTCTTTATTACCCAACAGTCTCAAAAGCATAACGTCATCTCATTTACATTGCAACCACATCTGAAATTAGATTATTCTAAATTGTACAAAAACTTAACTCTTAGCTTTCATGTTACAATCACTGCTGCTTTATCTTTGAGTCTTAAATGTAACAGCAATATCCACCTGTCTTCCTGCACTTAAACAGGTAACCTCACGTCAGCTGTGTCTTCTTGTTTGATCCTCTTTTGGGAGCAAATGAATAGTAGGGGCCACATGAGAAAACAGGGTGATGGAAGATCACCAAAACATGTAATTCTGAAGTAAGGATTGTGCAGTGTGCTTTGTGAAATGCTGTAAATCTGCCACAGAAGTGTGCTTTAAAATAGAAGCTTTAATTTATTAGGAGAAAGCAGAAGTTCTTCCTAATACAGACAGATCTTAAGAACACAATAATGCATCATCATCTGGTTAAGCCTGTAGGCAGCCTGAAAGCATCTCCCGTAGATCAATGAGCTGATTAACACTTCAAGATGTTAATTTAAAATGTCAGCGTACTATTTCAGTTTGCTTTGGTTCTTTTTTTGCAGCCTTATTTTAGTAACAATCATTTTACCAGAAACATCCAATATACTTTCACCACTGCTGCAAATTTCTTGCACTGCTCCCCACTATTAGTGCAAGACTCAACTGGCCATATCTTCTTTCACTCATTAAAAAACTCTAGATTAGTCTTCCACACCTGTGGATTTTAATAATAAAAATATAACTGAAAGTAGGTGAGCACAGTCAAGAAATTGAATTTAGCATCTAAACACATAACATAGTAGCATGGAAGGCATACTACTGGTAAGATTTTTGTATCAACTTCAGGAAATTGCACAATTTTCTGTTTAAATGAAACAAAGGATTTCTGACCTGTGCCCTAAAGTGCCATATAACTCAAAGGCCTAACCACATAACCAAAGTCCTTCTTACTGAAAAACACATAAAGCAGTAGTTATCAGCAGTGTAAGTTAAATAGGTCCTGTGGCTCCCAACATGACTTCTGGAGAGCTGGTAACAATTTGACAACCAAGTCATTCTCTTGACTAGCCATGCCTCTATTCCATTTCTCTGTAAATTTTATTATAATAAATAAAACCAGCTTAATGAATTCATTAGTACATACTTGCAAAAGACATGATGCCCCCAAAACCTTCACTGCTGTTGTTGGAGACAGTAGAGTTTGGGGAGCTGGCCCTGGAATCTGAGTCTGCATCAGAATCGTTGGCCAGTTTTAAACTGTTTGGACGGAGTAACTTCTGAGACCTTTAAAGAAATTAAGTACAACTGTTATTAGCTTTCCCCCTTCCCACCTCAAATCAACATGTATGATTGTGGGAGATCTATGCTGGTCTCACTCCTCATCCGTTTTCACCACACTACCCTTACCTTGTGGGATATTAAAAAAAACCCAAAACAAAACAAAAACCCAACCCAAGAGAATTGAAGCATCTTTGCATTGAGGCTTCTATTACCTTTCAGGGCATGCTGAAAATTTGTCTACAAAAGGGCATTGGTGGATTTGGGGGTGAAAGGGTTCTGCTTTGAGAGCAATAACAAGAAAACCCAATGTCATCAATCACTATAGTATCTTTCCTCCAAAAGACAAAGCTTCACCAAAAAAAAAAAAAAAATTGCTCAAAGGTTTCCAGAAATCAGTAGGTGATATACTAAAATGTTTCTAGGAAGAACTGATAAGTCTACTAGCATCTACTGCTTACATAAAAGCAAGGAACTGAGGGAACTGAGCAAGTGCCTTTACTCAAACCAGAAGGGTTTACAGAATTTCAGTATTAAATGAAAGTGGTCAACAATACATTTCAGGTGCAAAAGGCATTTGAATGAATAAACAATAAACTACTGGAAGCAGATGGAAATCCCAATAGTGCTGTACAGAAGGGCGGGAGACAAGGAGGACTTGCCTGCTTCCATTGAGATTCTGGTTAAATCTTGGGGTGTAGCTCTCTTCCTGCTCATCATCTTCATCCTCCGTAGGAAAACCATACTGTGGTTCAAAGTACGGATTATCATACTCTCTCTTCCTCACCACCCCTTCTGAGGAGCTCATGCTGCCAGCTGTGCTGTCGCTCTCATGGCGGTCCAAGCTTATCTTGGGAAAGCTTGGTTGTAGTGGCAAGGAAGGGAGATGGTTTGAAAATCCAGCAACCAACTTCTCTTCCATTTCTGCTGAATCTGCTGACTCCTGTGGACCAGTCAAATCATTGATCTGTTCGCTAATTTGTGTTACATACAACTGAAGGGCAGGACAAGAACAATTATTTCAAACTGGGAAGTCTGTACAGTCCTTGCTGTTTGTTACTTGCTTAACAAACTTGCTGTTTGTTGCCCCCACCCCATCCCCACTATCCATGGCTCTAATCTAGGATTTTACATACGCTGCAGTGTTTGCACATCGTTCTAGGGACTTACTCCCCTGTAAAACAGATCTTACTGGTAAGTGTAAGCTCAGGATAACAGCTCTCCATTACCCTGTTTTGTGGTTATGCAAGCAACTCCCATTCTTCCTAAATGACCACAGATTCATGAGTTTCCCCACCGCGCTCCCTGTTCCTCTAACGCATCAGGTCTTTCCAGACTCTGTAAAAGCAATTCCTGCAGTCACAACCTGGACCACTGCTCTCTGTTAATGCTGCATTTTTCAATGCATGGGAGCTTTTAGGTACAGGAATGCTCTGTCCCAGCATAAGAGGGTACCAGTAAACTCCACCTTGCTCAGAAAGTCCAGAAAGAGCATGCAATTTAATCTGCATGGTTTCACAGTCCTATTAGCTTTTGCCCTTCTCAGAAAGAACCACGTGCATTCTCCCATTCTTTATATCCTAATATGCCGATCTTGGGGCTGAACTCATCTCAGTACACACATGATTCACTCCATGGATGACAGTGCTGGGGCTGCTACTGGCTGTAGTACTGGAACTTGAACGAGGCTGGTTGTTCTCTTGGGAGTTTTCACTGTCCATGGCCTGTTCATCCAGATCCCCTGAGTATTCTTGAAAATCATCAAATTCCACTTCACTAGCATCACCAAGAGCTGCGTGAGTCAGGGGGTCAACATCTGCAAACACATCATTTTGCATTAAAGACAACTGCCTTCCTCAGCCTTTTGCCCATCTAACTAAAGACCCCTAGCAGTTGAGGGCTGCTCAGTAGAATAAACCTGCATAAAAATTTAGGTTGTAAAGGGCTTTTGGAGGTCATCTATTCCAACTCTCTGCTCAAAGCAGGGGTAACTTCAAAGTTAAAGCAGATTGCTCAGGGCCTTGTCCCACTGAGTTTTGAAAGTCTCCAAGGCTTGACATTCTACCTTGATCCTGGAAACCTGTTTAACTACACTAACCATGAAGATCTTTTCCTTATGTCCAAGCAAGTTTCTTTTGTTGCAACTTAGGATTATAACCTCTTGCCCTTGGGACATAGGAAATGTGTTGGCAGTCCTACATTTAGTTTATTGAAGAAAGTGAGAACTTCCCGCTCTCACAAGAGAAGCTATTGCTGCAGCCTTCATATAAGCCACAGAGAATGCATTTTCCTGTCCCCACTAGGATAGAGTGACTCATTAAAGCCAGCACTGAGAACCAATATGCGGGGGCAGGAGAAAGCTTGTACTCTGCTGCCCATATTGCACAGTATCTACTGGCAGCAGCAGGTTGTTTCCAGATCTAGCAAGCCAGTTTTGTTCAGCAGCACCTATTTCTGTTCTTCCTCCTCCCAGTGTCCTTTGGAGGGCATTGTTTATAAGCAGGAGAAATGTCTTTTTTTCAGCCTACCCCTGGATATTGAAGGAGGAGTATAGAAGACACTTTTACCTCAGAGCAAGACTACAATGGAACAATACTTTGCTCTAATTTAGGGACTTAGGGGAAGCATTTTTCCCCACAGTGCAGATGAATGGGGAAGAGGAACCTATGTGGACCTTGTGAAAGTAAAGCTCAAAGTTACTCACTTGGGGTATCGCCATTAATGTCACATTTCATCATCTCACTGACAAAGTCACCAAGGGAGGAGTAGGAGGAACTTGAGTCATCATAGTCGACACTGTCACTGCCACTGCCACACAGGTGAGAAAGAGAGATGAGTGGCAACATAACAGGAATAGCAGGGCCTGACGTTTCAAAGTATGAATCAGCACTGTTTTCATGGGCCTCTTAAAAATCTCATGATATTTCAGTCTCTACAAACAAATTTCTGGCAAGAGACAGAAGCCAGCTTCATGAAAGGTCAGAGCAAATGAAATAACTTTGAGGTATGTGCAGAGACAATATGGGAGGACATTTAAAGGCTCTCAGCAAAGTTAATGAGGTCAAGCATAAGTGAGCAGGGAGTAGTGTATTAATTCTCTGTGTGTGTAGGACAACTTCAAGGGAACTGGAAAACACAAGTAAAAGCATTCCCTTTTTATACTAACGATTAATCCCACTCAGTCAGAACCATTGGTGCTGTGTAGAACATAAAAGTTGTGCAAGTCCAAGCCTGAAAGATCTCACAGGCTAGCAGAGAATGAAGGATAATAAAACTTGATGCAAAACTCTGGGAAACACAGCCAAAACTACTAGAAGAAAAAAAATTACTCTCATTTTACTGAACACACAAGAAGGTCTCAGGCAGTGGGTAGTACTCACAAGCTTCACATAACTATGTGCACTGAGTAGAGATTTAAAAGAGTGGTAGGATGGGTGGGAGTACTTGTAGTACTGCAACAGAAATAACCAGAGAAAGAACAGCATGGAAGAAAAAAAACATTAGGGTGGGAGAAAATACCAAATGTCAAGTGGCATACAGGTAGCAAAAGAAAACAGGAAAACACAAATGGAGAATTACATTAAATGAAGGCTTGAAAAGACACTAGGAAAGGGTTAAGAGGTTGCTGTGATGACAGAGCAGGGAGACAATTTACTTCAGTGTCAGTATTCTGCCCAGACAGAAATGAAACAGCAACCTGGCAGGCTACAGGAAAAAGCTGCAAATGAGAAGTAAGTTCAGATTGCTGGGCCTCTTCTCTATCCCACGACTAAGGTCATGCTCCCCACTAACCTGTCATCAGTGGGATCAGAATCTGTTTCTTTCTCTGCTGGGACATTCAGTGCTTCAGCCAGCTGTGAATTACTGTCATAGACACGATAGTGGATGGGCTGCAGCTGGTGAGCATACCACTTCGGTTTGTCACCAATCAGTGCTGGGTCAAACATGTCTGCACAAAAAACAAGGAGAGAGTTAATTGAACTCATTTATTGGTGTCAAAGGCTTCATTCACAGTGAGGCTACCCCCTACTAAGTCTTGCACAAAGGAAGGAACAGCCTCTACTCTAAGAAGCCTCCGTAACCAAACAAGACAAGATGTAAAATTAATTGGAGGAGTGAGTGGCTAATAGCAGGGTTAACTTGGCAGAAACACATGAGGACATACATAAAAATAGAAAAATATTCCTTGAACTGGATTTCACTCCCCAGCAGGAATAATATGGTGTAAAACTCAGTCCCTCCCTAGAATCTCTCTGCTTTTTAAGTTCCTGCATTACATCCAAGTGCAGGAAAGGCAAGACCAAAACTTACTGTTATGAATTCTTTGGAAAGCATAGTTAGTAGGGTTGAGTGACCATTCTCCAAAGTATTCTACTGCCTGTGTCCTGGAAAGCTTATCTGCAAAAGGTGTCTGCTTCGGCCTAGAGGCAAGAAAAGAATTTGCCTGGAAGGCCACCACTGGTCGCGGGAAGAGACGAAGAGTGCGAGTATGCATCTGGAAACCTTGCAAAACATTTGGTGAGTTGAAGAATCTCACCATAGCAACCCTGAAAAGAAACAGAGGACAACATATCAGATAAAAACACAGAACACAACAGAAAAGAAGACAGAGAGCCTTTAAAAGTTATGCAGTAGGCAACATTTCAAACCTTTGAAGAATGGTAACCCAGTACAAAAAGCTAAGTCTTCTTAGAAAACAGTTGTCTTGGAAAAAAGAAAAGAAAAAACCAAAAAACCACTGAGAAATCACTTTGTTTTAATTCACCACCTTAACACCAAGACCCACTCAATGAGGGACATTGTTCTTATGTCTGCTAGCTGAGGTGACAATTAAGTTTCCAGCTTTTTTTGTAGTTTAAGGCTTGTGATTTAAGCTGAGAATACAATACCAGGCTGACAAATCCAGGTAAAGTGGATGATCTATAGGAAAATGCAAGAAACAAAACACCCCCTCCAGATACACAGTTATGTTCATGCAGTTAATAGATCTGAGGTAAACACTGTAATTTCTGCTCTTTTCTTCCCCTGATGTAAAGTAGAACCTGCAGTAGAACCTGGAAGATGCTGCTTCCACCACAGGACCCATAGAAGCGTCTGTGCTGCCTTCAAGTGCAAACTTTATGAAGACTCAACACTACCTTCCTGTTCAGCCTCACCTGGTAGCCACATCTACAGAGTCCACATCATTCCCATAGATGAGAGGGTTGAATTCTGTGGAGGGAGTAGACTGCAAATCATTCTGTGGTCTTCCCAGTAGCAGTGGCACCTCCTGCCCCTCGTGGAACTTCTCTAGATTAAGAATGGGCTGAGTATTCAGACTCATGCTGGCCAGTGCCTAAAGAAGGACAACATTATGCACACATTCAGCAAGAAAAAAAAGTTATTCAAGGAACAAGAGAGAGATCAGAGCTACTCTGCCTTCTAGGCAATTGCAACAATTGTGCATGCTCCATTAGTTTATCTTAAACTATCTCCTATGCTGAGTCAACAAATATCTCCAGGCCCTCCTTTATGTGGACTGTAAAAAAATGATCTCCTCAACACTGAAACAGTCCTGGAGCCAGCCAAGGAGTATCACAGAAGTCCACTTTGCTAGATCATTCATGACAGGAAAACAGATAGTCCAGATTGGACCGCTAGTAGTATGACACTGTGTACAACTTATTCCTGTGTGTAATTTGAATACATCTTGGGACCTAGAGGCCTTGAAACTTGCAACTTGGCCATTCAACCAGTGAGTTTGATATCCCAGGATAATGTGGAGACACCTTTACAGGCATCTGCCTGTATCCCTGCAAATCTCCACTTCGCAGCTGAATGAGGTCTTCATCTCTCCATAAAGCTACGATTCTCTTCAACCCTCGTAACTTCTTCAAGGATATGCACTGGAGCAGCACAAATGGTAAATCAGTCCTGGACACCAAGACCTACCCTAAATCTTCCTAATTTCTCCCATTTGCCCACTGAGTCATCATCTTTTTATTTCAAAAATAAATAAATATATAAAACAAAACAAAAACCAAAACTCCAAAGGAAAAGGGTAAAATGGAAAATTGAGCAGAAAAGAATAAAATAAAGAACCTTGTTGTCAGGAGTGAGCAGCTGTTTCTGAGTGATTGCAGTCATGCTAACCAGACACTGGAGGCAAGATGGAAGATCATATGATAACACCAGCAGCCCATCAGAGCCAAGACGAACACATGACAACAGAGAAACAGATGGAGGGGAAAAAAAAATTAAAAAAATCTATTACTACCAAATATTACAAATGAGAGGAAATAAAAGGGACCACAAAATAGGCACATTTGGGGAGAGAGGTTTAACTGCCCCACCCCCAAACATTCACATCTGGCCACTTTGGAAAGTGGAAAGGCTGCTGTCCTTACTGATGCAGCTAAGAACTTTCTACTGCAGTTTAAAAGCAGATATCCTGAATTTTATTAGTTGGCTCTAAGACCCAAAGGCACACAAAAGCGTTAACCTTAGTGATGTGGGCCACAATTTAGTCCTCTCTACTTTGTACAGCAACCATTAGCACTCCTTCTCCTTTGCCAATGGTCAACTCTTAATGATAATGCCTACAGGAATACATAGGGATGTAACCTGAATTTGGGTGAACACTCCAAGAATTTTAAATATGTCCTCAAGGAAATTGCAATTTGTTCTTCTGATATCCAACTTTGCCCTACTGAGACAGTTTTAGTGCCTGAAATTGCAAGGGGGTGAGGCAGAACTGGGGGGAAGGTGGATCTAACAAAACTCCAAGCAACACATCGCTTCCATCTGTGCTGACAGCAGGTACTGAGGTATCATAGAGGTTACACACTTTGCTCTCCAGGTCTACGAGGAGAGAGAAAGAGCAGATCTCATCACATTAGTAACACACTTTACCTTTAGATACTGCATGCAGCGTGCATAAGGAAAACAGAAATAAAGAGATAAAACCTGCTTGACACGATCAGCCAGGATGACCCAAGCTGATTAATGGCTTAGCAGGACCTGAGAGGAGAGACTGAGACCTCACACACAGATCTGTGAATGGAGGGGAAACAAAGATGATCATAGCTTGATGGATCAAGTCAGAGTTTAAAGCCCACATGGCAAATGTAAAGGAGGAATCTGGAACTTTCTGCACCAACTGGAAACAAGTTAGCCCCAAACAACAGTAAAAAACAGAAACCATCTGTTCCGTCCAGGAGCATTTCAAATTATCCCTCACTTGGCTAAGAAATTAACTGTAGTTATAAGCCTTGGTGACCACTCACTTTTCCAGATTAACTCTCTCCATGAAGATAGAAAAACAGCAACTGGATACCTACCACTTAACATCTGTATCAATTGATATTGATTTTCAAGCTCAAAATGCTGTTGTGTTCTAACATGGGTGATGTTCTAACTGGCCAACTATATGAAAGGGCATCTTAAATAGTTTGACACAAAATTCCTAGTCCTGTGCTTCCCCCACAAATGACAAAGGTGGAAGCAGCAGAGACAGCAAAAGATGAAACAAGTAACAAAAATTATAGTTAAGTCCTCAGGAGAAACTACAGAGAGATCTGAAACAACATGAAAGTCTCAGATTTAGCTTAGTCAGGAGAAGACAATGTTAGAAAGTCATACAGCTCAGGGATCTCAAAAGAAGACACCCCTATAAATTTGTTTAATCAGCCACCCTATTGATTAGCCCACTGCCACATTCAGAGCAGTAGACCTCTCCATGACTGACCAAGGGGCACTTTCTTGAACAAGGGCATTCTAGTACTCTGATACGTTTTCACATCCATCTGACGTACCAGGATACACACCTGCTTTTAATTCATTTTGCTTTACATTAGCTGACTTGCATTCTTGTCCAGTACAGCAGAAGAGCTGTGCAAGACTTCATCTGCTAAGTTCTACTGAATTTGAGTCCTTCCCCCAAAGTGCTTATTACCTGTTTCAGATGCTTCTTCAGCTCTGAAGCTTCTGGTTCTGGCAGTGCTGGCAAAGATTCTGCATTTGTGGGAACAATCACCTGGAATTAAGCACAGCAACAAACTAAAAATTCCCCAGCTGTAGTCCTTTCCAAACCAGAATCTCCTGAATCTCCACCACTCCAGAGACTGAGGAATAAAAGACATAAAGTAAAAAATAAAAAACCCACAACACCCCCCCCCAGACATCTGCGTCATTACTTCGATATTCACTTCTTTATGGTTGTTATTGTTTACAATATCGCAAACAATGGAAGAGTTACTTTACCATTTACCTCAAAAAAAGATAAGTTTGAATGAACCCACACTCATCCTTTGGAATTTCCATCAAGTAAAAGATGTTATACATGTTTCCCTTGAATTAGCCTTGCTCATGCCCCAGTAGAAAGTGGGATACAGAGTCCCATTTGAATCATGACAGCCAGTGCTGCTGGAAGGCTCTTATCAGACTGGGTTTCTTACATAAGGCTATAAGAGACAGGGTCACAATTACTCAAGAAGACAGCTTTATCATTTGTTTGAGGATTTATCTTCTAATGATATAGCCAGATGGATTAACTAAAAAAGAATGCTTTATAAGCAAAAGAGACGGGACCTTGAGACACAAGAAGGAACGGAATCCAAAAGTTTAAGATGGAAGTGGCAAAGGCAGGCTGACGCCAGGCATTCTTAAATTCTCAGTGGGTACACTAATAAAAGTGCACAGTTCCCTGGAAACAAAGCCACAAGTCCTTATGGGCACCACTTACCCTATTGGTATCCAGGTCAATAAGCCATACATCATCAGGCATTTTAAAATCCAGTTTGTAAAGGAAGAAACTTGCTGGAACACCAATGATATAAGGTGTAGGGGCTAGAAGCAACTGAGAGAAAGAGACACTTTAATAAGGACAACATCTGCATTTGATATCACCATGTTCTTCCCAAATATTTATTTATTAACTACAGTATGTTTATAGCAGAGGAGACAACACACAAGGCACTGATAAATAAGTAATTAATTCCATACAATATTTAGGAAAAAAAAAAAAAAAGAGGAATAAAAGCTCCTGCTCAGAGGGCTTCAATTTTTATCTAGAAGAAAATAAATTTCCACCTCCTAGGCCCCCACCCTCACCAGGGATGTAATTTATATAGCTACATGGCTCCTTGGAAAAAACTTAGCTAATCTAATGGCTTGCCACATCTATCATGGACCAAGAAAAAAAGGTGTTCAGAGTAAGAGCCTAACTAGAGAAGAAGCAAGTCATAGATGAATACACCCTCAGCTCAAGCTGAGTCTGTGCCATTGTAAATATGGCTTTACCCATGCAAGGACTTTATCCTTACCCTTGTAATGGTAATTTGGTTTCAAAACAATAACATCTCTACAAAGAAGAAACAGACACATTTTTTCAACCGTATGTGGAAAACCTAAGGGGAAATTCAGGTTGTTTCTGATAAGGGAATTATCAGAGGGAAAAGGTTTAAATCAATAAGGCAGCTTGAGACCAGTGGCTTGGGCAGCTAAATTATTCTTTAAATCTAGAACACCAACACAGGTTGGTCACCTCCAAGGGGTGGTACAAGAACAAACCTGAAGCATCAGTTGCAGGATAGCACTGAAGTAGTAAGATGGCCTGAATTCTATCTTTCCAAGCAAAATGATGAGCTCCTGCAGAGAGCCAACTATTGGCAAAACCCAGGCTCCCAGCAGCAGTAACTCAACACTTCATATTTCTGAGGAGACCAAATTGCAGGCAATAGTTTCTAAACTCTGAATCAAGAGCCCTCAAGCGTACTTAAATGTTACTCTGGACCCTCCCTAACAAACCTTAATACTCAGCTGGGGGGAGGGTGGGACATAAATACTCATCATAATATTGTGGATCTATGGCCTTTTAAGTCCATTGCTTGTGAACTACTGTGAACTACTGCTTTGAATCATACTATTCACTAGGCATGCTTTGAAGGTATCCTAAATAAGTGGTGTTACCTATGATTTAAATAGCTAGCAGTGCTCAAAGAATGTTCTTTGCAAGGCAGAATTTGCTGCAATCCCTGAGAAAACAGTGGGGAAGGAAATAAGGACTATGCCTGTATAAGTTTCAGACATCACAGAAACATCCTTTGCAAAAGACCAATAAAGGAAAAATATGTACCTGTTCTGCAGAGGCCATGCAGGTGGGAAGCAGAGGGATCACTGGGAACATGTACTCTAATGGGTAGATCATAGCCACAAAGGCCATCACAGACATTGAGAGTGCATTATAATCTCGGGACTGCAATACAACCTGCAACCAAAGAAACTCACATTAGCACTGCAGCAACCATTCACTTCTCATACTCCCCACAGGGGTGTACAAAGATCACAGCCTGCAGGCCTCTGATTTGATGGCTGTGAACTGGATGACCCTCCATTAATCTGTCTGAAAACAAGCTTCAGGTGCTTTTTTGAGTGAGAGTAAAACTTTTCAAAACAGGAGCCTCGGAAGGACCTATTCCTTCCCACCGCAAACTGATTCCAGGCAGTGCAGGAGACAGCTGTTCTACACATCCAGCGTACCCTGGTTTTGAAAAGGGCAGTGCTTCCCACATACCTATCAAAGGTCAACTCTTCCCTTCTTACCTTGTGCTCGAGAAGGATGCAGGTCAGCACCTGCAGGCAGGCATCCACTCCCAACAACTCCAAAGGCAGATGTAATGGAAAATCCACCAAGGTGAAGCGGGATGGATCAGGAAGAGCAAAGGTCAAAGCTGGCTGCAACTCATGTGGCAAGACTTCCACATCCACCCGCTTCTGACCAGCAACAGGCATCGGTGAACGGAGCAGCCGGTATATCCAGGCCTCAATCTCCCGCAAGCCGTGTAGCAATGCACTGGACTTTTCTTCCACCAGGAGGGAGCCTGTGAAAATCCGCCACGTTGTATCCCTGTACAGAGAGAACAACAAGGTTAATACTCCAAAAGCTTCACATGACAGCCATTCCGCAAGGCTCTTCCAGGGAAAGGGCAGATACATCGAGAATTAAAGGATGCAGCTAACAAACATTTGGTCACACAGAAGAACAGAAGGTAGGGATTTAAGCTTACTGAAGCAACCACTGTGGGGAAGTACAAATCTTTCTGTGGCACGAATCAACACAAGTAGGTCATTTCCACCTGAGAGTTCATTCATATATTTAAAGGGTTCAGTTAGGTCCAGATCTCTGAAGCTCTCTCATAGCCCTGGTGCTTGAAATGCAGCATGCACATAGGATACTCCCATATCTCTTCCAGAATTGTGGGTGACTGATTGATTGTAAGATTCTGCTTCCAGCAGTCCTACAAACCTTTGCAAGAATAGGAACTAAACCTGAGATAACAGAAATACACCACACCAAGATCTCCCAGCTTTTTGGCATGATAAAGTACTCTTTTTCATCCTATCCTGAATTGCATTGTATCATTCTTAAGAGCTGAATAACCTGTGGCAGAAGTGAATGCATTTCAGCTGAGAATATAAATTTCTTAAGGCTGTCTAGAAAGCATTTAGGTACCTTAGCAAAATAAGCAGCCATTTTTCCCTACGCTAAGCTAGCAATCTGCAAACTTGTAGCTCGCAGACGGGCTGGCCAAAACGCCTATAAAGCATTGCTCAGGGCCTTCAGAGCTTCAAAACTTGAAACTGGGTCTGACAAGGGAAGCAAAGTGGCTTGTCCACTTCAGCCCTTAATGCTGTAGCACAGTGAAGGCTGCAAACCTGCTGCAGCCATTTTGCAAAAAACTTCAGCCTGATAAATATCTTCAGTTACAGTAACAGATCCCTTAGAATGGTATGGGCTCAAACTAGAGGTTCTATCTTACAGTTCAAAAAAAAAAATTAAAGAAAAAGAAAGATGATGATGACATGGAGGCTTCAGAAAGGAAGAAAAATTAAGAGAAATTTGGAGGGGCCAGAAGAAGGACAATTTGAGATACATCTCTCAGGAACTGTGATGCTTCTCATCCTCCGCTCTTCCTTCAGCTGCTTGTAATGCGCAGGACATTAGGTTCTTAACAGGCACGCTCAACCTTTTGCAGGCTGTAAGGATTCAGTTTCACCTTTATTCTGCCACCACTTCAAAACTATTCTACTTTTCCAGGTCATGGCTTGCACGCCACGTGGTAATTCAAACCTCCTGCTGTACTTTTCCCAGAGATGTATGCTTAGCATTCCTTCTCTTGCCCTCCTCATCTGTCACTCAGTTCTTCTCTAAGAATTATATCCAACAAGAGCAAATTTTTCAAATACCATATGCCATTCAAACATTGGAATACTTTAGCACCCCTTTCAAAAATCAGATGAGCTCTCAGAGTTGAGGAAGATCATGAAAATTAGCTTTTTTTCTGCCTCAGTAATTATCAGACTAAACCAAGTGACAAAATAAGCTCCCTTAATACATATTTCCATTGGGGGGGGGGGGGGGGGGTTTTTTTTTGAAAAAATTTTTTTCCCCCAACAGTCAGTGGATTCAGGTGATAAATCTGCTAATTCAGGAGTCAGTCATAAGCCCAGGGCACTCTCCTAGAACTATTCCAGGACAGTAACCCAAGAAGTAGGCTACTGCTCTGTGAACAGGACAGATTTCCCCTTTCATGCAAAATGTAAAGAGCTTATAAAGATGAAAGTGATAGATGTCGTGTCATTTTTTGCTTTTGACAAGTTTAATTTGGAGCATACCAAGTTACTTAACTCACATTATGAGCCATCTCACAGCCCCATCGCTCTTACTATTATTGAGATAATCCTCTCCTTCTCCAGAGATTCATTTTATATTTTCTCTTTTCAGTTAGCATATTAGAAAGGAAAATATCATTCTGGAATGTAGGTGTCAGGCACAATAGCACAGATATACATCCATGACTGATATAAAGACATTGTTCCTTCTGACCCTACAGCGCAACAGCTTTTGTTACATACCCAACATTATAATAGCAGATATGCAAGATTACTACATTACATTAAAAATACACCAAATTGCTGTTAATTCGCTGTTACCAACCCCCATTCCCATATGCCTCCTAGACAACTCCTTTGTTTTCTATCTCTCCCCCCTCTCCCCTTCAAATATTGTACTTTGATCTCTTTCAGCCGTTCCTGCTTCTCTAGTCTTTTCTCTCCCACGCTGAAGTTCAGATTGTTTCACAAGCTCGTTAAGCATACTTTCATCATTTTCCTCTTGCCCCAAGTGGAGATTCTCTCTGTTATTTCTTGGCTGTTTCTAATTTGCCAGAGAATCAGTCCTGACGTACACCACCACAGAGCTTATATGCCAATGCAACAATAACAGCATCAGTGCTCAGCTTCAGAAAAGATCATGCTCAGTCAGTTGTTAGCAGGATAGTGCCTCCTTATGTGTATCAAAAATAGAAATCATACCAGGTTACAGAATCACACAGAGAAGTTTTAAAGAAATCATCACCAAAATTTCCTTTTCCTACTATGATCCTGGGTTAAAACAGCAAAAAGATCAACCATTGGTGTTTGGCTGCTCCTACAACCACACCTGTAGCCACAACTTGCCATGCAGACAATTGCAGCCCTGGACACAAACAGTAGGAGGAAAAAGTTCTTTCTTCCCCCTCAACATACCTCTGCACCCCACGAGGAATCCCCAACTTCTTGCCCAACAATCTCTCACTACAGCAGTCCACAAGTCTCTTGAGGGTGTACAGACACTCACGAAAGGTGGAAAAGAAGGGATAATGACTAAGGATGCACAGAGAAGTCAGAGTGCTGTTCCGAGAGCGATGGCTGCCTTTGGCCAGCCGCTTACTGCGTGGTGATCGAGTCACATCTGGGGTAGACTCTGTACTTGGAGCCTGCAGTGAAGAACCACCCTCCGAACTCTCAGTGCCCACTTCCTCTTGGGGTGCAGATGCATCCCCGGATTTGGGGATTTTCTGTCCCTCCCGAGCTCGATGCGCCCCTGTGCTTTCTCCCTTCTCCTTAGGTACTCGCTTCTGGAAGGAGCGGTAGAAGTTGACACAGATTCCATAGCGAATGACACCTGTATCCTTGTCTGTGAGTGTGAAGACAAAGGAAGTGTCATCACGGAAGCTCATGCGTTTTTGCCGCACACTCAGGCATCCTTCGGGCTGGCAGAAGAATACAACATCAGGTGGTAGAGGAAAGTCCACATGGTCTTCTAGAGGGTAACGTCGCAGCAGTTCAGGAGTCTGAGCAACACTATCACTACTCGGCTGCCTACAAAAAAAGCAAACAAAACCAACATATATAGTTGACTAATGCCAATAAAAATCTTTGGCATCTCCCTACTAACATGTCAGAAGCCTGCGGGCTCAGCTTCATCTTTGTTTCTTCTCTCCCCCACTATCCAGGGAAAGCACAGCTTCCCAGTCACTAGCCTCAATGCTCAACCACTAGCACAAGGCCACAATTGGAGAGAGGTCAAATAAAGAAGTCTGTACCATCATTATCAAGGCCCAACAAGGAGCCTGTTCAAATTTGACCAAGAAAAAGACTTTCAGGAGTATGTTGTTCCCAGAAGAACATTGTATTGTTATGTTTCCCTGACTTTGACTTCCAAAATTAATTTAACTGCACAGGTCTCTGGGGTAGGAGACCAACTTGGGTAGGAAATACACTGTCCCTCTCCAAATATACAGTCAGATGAAACCCCCCTGGATTTCAGCCATTTATGAACAAGATGAAAAATTAAATGAGAAAATCCAGTATCAATTCCTAATTGGGAAAAACAAGAATTTACTAGGAAAGAACTCAGACAAATGGTGGAATGAAATGGACCTCATCCTGTAAAATTTTCATTAAAAAGTTCCAGCAACAATAGATATATCTATTTCTGTGTTTCATTTCCAAGTTGGATTTGAAGTGTAAGTTACTATAAAAGCTGTGTAGTAATATGCGGACCTATTTAACACTGTGGCTCATCAACCTTTGTACCACAAATCACTAATGGAACACAAAGACAGAAAAGTGATACTGTTTATTCCTAGTTTTCCACCAGAAGAACAGATTTTTTCAAGGTATTAACTATCTTCCTACTACTAGTCTTCCATGAAAGTTACTGAATAACTGCAAGAGAAATAGTTTGAGATCCACAAAGTAAAGGAAGAAAAATATGTCCCCAGAACAACCTCTCTTTGGTTTGACCCCTTTGCTATAAAGTCTGATCTCTCACCATTTTCTGAAGTAATTAGCATTTATTTTCATGTTTAATAAATGAGATGTAGGAGACCTGGCTCCATCATCACTCTCCTATGGGATTTCATACAAGACATTCTCTCACCTTGATACTTTAGATATGCCCATCTCAAAATATAAATAACACTTGCTTTTTTTCTTATCTGAGAGGTGAGAAAACCCAAACATGTAGTAATACAATGTTTGTAATTTACAAAAGAAAATCACTGGTATAAATAGCTCTGCTGACTAATTCTCCCAGACTAATACTTTATCAAAGAAAAAGTAAAAATGCTTTAGTAATAAAGTATAAATTGGTAACAAAATTTATACTACCTGTACAGTTAAGTACTGAAATACTGTAAAAAAAAAAAACCCTAAAAAGCTATTATATATTAGTGGAGACAACTAACATATCATCTGCTGAAGAAGAAATGTCAAATAATGCTGGTACTGTTTAGAGAGTCTATTTGGCACTAAATGGTTAAAAAAAAAGTAATCAACAAAGTACCAGTGAATATATCATCAGTTCATGCCTTTGCAGTAATATTAGCTACAGAGTCTTCTCAGACATTTAGAAAATTTGCATCTAATAAAAGGGAATACTTCCAAAAGGCATTGCTATTTGTGCACGGTGGATAACAAGATGTAATGGTAAAGGCCACACGGAGCTCGTAAGGACTTTGCATTAGAAGCTACTTCAGTTAGCTCCATCTCTTATCATAGGCATTTGTTGAAGTGCCTAATGAGACAACAGACCTCTGAACATTAGCACTCTAGCTACCACTGCCCAGCAGAAAGCAAGAGAACTGTAGGAGTCCAGAAGTGATGCTAGCAAATTTCTGAGTGAGAACATCAGACACCATAAGCATCACTGGAGCAGGCAGTTAACGCTTCTTCCTCCTTTTCCTAGCTGGTGACATACATATGGAAAACTTGGTTATTTTTCTACAGACAATAAGACATAATTAAACTATTAAATTATTCTGTCCATAAAATACAATAATAAAAATAATTATTACTTAGGATTATGTCATTTCCTCAACTTAGCCTATTTAAATATTGCACTCAAAGTATTCTGAAAAGAAAGTGGGAGGTAAAGCAACAGGCTGATGCATGTAAACCACTGATACTTAGAAATGAAAGTAAAATAGACTTTGGAACACACCCATTAAACAGACTGGCAGAAAGTTACTGCATAAACTCCAAATAAAGAAAAATAACATTTACTGAGCACCTGTGTCTTTGACAAACAGCACACATATCAACCCTACATTTCATACATGCTTTAAGTAAATAAGCATAACATTTTATCTATTGATAGTTAATAAGACTTTAAAACAAGAAAGCATTCATGTCATTCCTATGAGGATAAATGAGTATTAGAGGGAGAAACAGCCAAGTAAGGCAAGTTCCAGATTATTTTTTTTTAACTGAGTTTACAGACTGCACTTCAAAAGCTAGAAAAGTAACCCCAAACAAGTATTTTATTTGCATGTGGCTTTCAGTATTTTCAATTTGTGAACCCCTCTACCCTGATGCCAGTAGAAGCACAGAAGTTCAGACACATAGGCTACTAGACAGTCATATATAAACTGGCTGTTCTTAGTCACCCTTTGCAGACCCTTGAAAAGGAGTCTAAAGACCACAAGTTAAAAAACTTTGGCTGCACTAGTATCTTTCAAAAAGTGCCCTGACCCAAGTAGATGCTCCCATTACTGTAGCATTCTTCATGTATTCCAGACAGCACTTCCTCAGCACCAAGCAAGGCTTCATCAACGGATGCTAGGCTATTTATCCCCACTCTACCGCCCAAGCAAAGCAGTGCTGAGACTCTTTTACATTACCTGGCTCCAATGATCACAAGATAGTCGAGTAACCGAGGGCAGATTTTCTTTTTCTGCACCATTGTCCTTGATGCCCCTCCCTATGTCATCTCAGTGAATTTCTCTTCATCAGTCCAGTAGCCAGTTATCCAGTCAGCTGTGATCAACTGCCCTGGGGAACAGAATCTGCTTGGAACAATCTGGCAAGGCCAACCTATGATCAAGAAAAGCAAGAGTGTCAAAGGCACAATCAGGAATACCAAATACATGGTAGGCTACCCCATGACCTTAATTACATTCCCCAAAAGCCTCAGTGTTCTGTGCAGTCATGGCCATCCACAAATCTCCCTCTTCATGAGTATAAAACCACAACCACATGCCCACAAAAGCAGAGAGTTGAAAAACACACAAAAAAGTACAAGAGGATCTCAAGGAATACCACAGACAAACAAAGCAGCATATCACTGGCAAAAAATTATTCATTAAATGGTTCAAGGCAAAAGTATTGTTTAGGCAAAACCCTGGGATTCCTACAGTGCTTGGGAAAGGAGCTTTAACTGGCAATTCTGTACTATTAAACACAAATGAAGAAACAAATGCAACCTGAACTTTAGTTGTCTGATAAACAGAATAACTAAAGAAAGGGTAATATCAAGAGAACTCCAATTTGATATAATGCACCTCACCCTCCCAAACCTGGATGTGGCCTAGAGCAAAAATGATCTCCACAATCCCCTACGACTGCGATGTCTTAACACTTTGGTGAAGATATAGAACCGCAGTTCTACAGGACTGCCGTTTGCAATAGCAAAAGTGTTTCTTGTAAATCATACTGTTTCTTTCACTTACTTTATTCAATTCCACTTATCTTGTGTATCTTCACTATTTACTCTTGATACCCATGCCTCCAATTGCTAGTTTCTCTGCCCATTTTATAATAGAAAAGACCTCTTGGCACAATTGGTACTTTACTGCAGCATTACTATTTGTCAATAACTATGCTTAATAGACATCCAGAATTCAGTAAGCAATGTAAAATTCTTCTTTTCAATCCCACCATTCATACTTCATTGAATTCATGAAAGAAAGGAGAAAAAAAAATGTTAAAAAGTAATCAAGTTCCATATTACAATGTTCCCTACCTACGTTTGAAAACAATCTGAAAAGAGAAATTTTCTGAAATAGAAAGTTCTCAGAAACTCTCAGAGATGCTCAAACTGTACACAAGTTTACTGAGCATCCCAATGAAAGCATTAATAAAGTTATTTTATATTTTAAAAATTGAACTGATTGCCTTTTGGGGCATATTCAGAGTAAAGCTTCTATTTCAATTCATGTTTAATCCAAAGGCTACGTCATGGTTTAACCCCAGCCAGCAACTAAGCCCCACGCAGCCACTCACTCACTTTCCCACCCACCCAGTGGGATGGGGGAGAGAATCGGAAAAAAAAAGGTAAAACTCGTGGGTTGAGATAATAACAGTTTAATAGGACAAAAAGGAAGAAACTAATAATGATAATAGTAACAATAATAAAATGACAATCATAATAAAAGGATTGGAATATACAAAGAAGTGATGCACAATGCAATTGCTCACCACTCATTGACCAATGCCCAATCAGTTCTTGAGCAGCGATCTGCCCCTCCCGGCCAACTCCCCCCAGTTTATATACTGGGCATGACATCACATGGTATGGAATACCCCTTTGGCCACTTTGGTTCAGCTGCCCTGGCTGTGTCCCCTCCCAACTTCTTGTGCCCCTCCAGCACTCTTGCTGGCTGGGCATGAGAAGCTGGAAAAATCCTTGACTTTCGACTAAACACTACTCAGCAACAACTGAAAACATCAGTGTGTTATCAACATTCTTCTCATACTGAACCCAAAACATAACACTATACCAGCTACTAGAAAGAAAATTAACTCTATCCCAGCTAAAACCAGGACAGGCTACCACAGGATTCAGAGAATTATTATTACTGTACTAAAATCTTTCAGTTCTGCAGCATAAAGTTTAGATTTTATTTCCATAAAAGTATAACAGATTTACTAACAACCTGTAAATCTCAGAAAATTAGGTAATTTTCTTGATGTTTCTCTCATTACTTCACAACCAAAAGTTAGTTAAAGGCACTGTAACTGTCAGCATCTTGCAATCATGTTCAAAGTCTAGCAACATATTTGCTTTTTTCCCAGCTTTTCACATTCCAGATTCAGAGTTGGGGAACTTTATTCATTAGCCCTGCAAATACCATTAAGAACACAAACACACAAAAAAGTATGTATATGATTTATCAAAAAAGGATAATCATATTAGTCAGTAAGTATTAATTATGGAATAATAAACTGAAAGAAACCTTAACCCTCACATACACAAAATCCCACATTTTGTAAGACTTCGTGGCATGGTTTTAGTAGATCCTCAATTACAGTCACTGTAGGTTCCTAACTGACAGCACTGTAAATTACCTTCTCTGGGCAGCAATACTTTAATAAATTATCTTCTCTGAACAACAGAGAAAATACAAACACAGGAAGCAAAGTTCCCGCTTCCTCTTTTTAATGATATTATTGAAAACATTGTAGAATCTGTCCTGCAACAGCTCTCGATCCAACATATTCTGCAAATATCTTGGCAGATAAACTCGAAAGGAACAAGATGAAATTGGGATGATCAAGTGGATCCTTTTGCCTTCAGTTTGAAGAACTACTTTATCTGTTTTCTTTCCAAATCACTTTACCCAGAATTCTTTCAGGAACTCATTCTTCAGTTACAGATATGGGCACAGGAACAAGTTACCATGATGTAACCTAGAAGTATGACTTCGAGGAACTTCTGCTACTCAGTGGTAACCAAACATATGTTCTTCCTCTATTACAGAGACTATCCTACCCCTCAGTGAAGGTGGAGAAAGTAAACTGCATTTACAATGGAGTAAAAGTATATGCAATGACTACAGAGTAACTGAGAGGCTACAAGACCACAACCTTACCTTACCTTTCAGTAACTTGTCCATACCCTGTGGTTTTTCTCCTATTCTCTAGCCTGGAGAACATCTCTTATGACTGCAATTCATTACATATCTTTCCCACAGTTCTGCAAAGGAGCTAGTGAGGTATGCAATATGAAGACCTCCATCAAAACCATAAGATTTTCAAGAGTATCTGAGCAGACCAGTACAAGGAACATATGCAGGGCTTCTGATGTCCCTGGAATGGCTGAAGCTGCATCCTAGTGATGCCATACATCAAAGTTTCTGTCAGTTTTTTAAAAAAACTCTGAGCGCTTTCTGATTTCTACTGCAACACAGGGAGACCAGACTGATGCAGATATTCTGCAGGGGCTCCTACAGTCTCCTTTACTTGGTTACTTATTCTTAACAAGGCCATAGTTACAGCGAGACATAAGAGGACACAGGTTTTCTTTTGGAAAATGAAGTTTTGTTGGATTGGAGTGAGAGGTAGGAGAATTAGAACCACGTTTAGTTTTTTTGCCTTCCCTTATTCAATCTCTTGCTTCTCCAGAGATCTAGTAATGGCTAATGACAGCAATTAAAGAGCAATAGATCAATATTTGCTGGAACTCATCTTCCTACTCCTGGTTGGAGTCAGACACCACAGTTGATGGTCTGTATAAACCAACACAAACAGGCATTACACTCCTGCCTCTTTCTCCCTATCTGCCAAAAGCTTGCTTTCAAGCCAGTGTCATTCCCTCCTCTGTGCTGGCAGAAGTGCTCGTGCAGTCACATGGTGAACCAGATTGTAGAATTGATATGGACTAAAACTAACAACCTCACTTCCCTCCCTTGCCACTTTTGTTTTTACTAGCTTATTTCTATTATTTGGTTCATCAAGTGGCCACACAAATGCTTGTGCAGGCACAAAGAAAAGCTAGGAGTGAGCAGCTAAGGGAACTGGGAAAACTTGATTGAACATAATATCATCACAGAACTACAGATGACAGTTTCTCTACAGGCAATAAAGAGGTAAAGTAGTTTCTTTCTCAGAGATTTGCTATTATCCTTCCTCTTGCTCCTAGATTTTACGGACTAAGTACATTAGAACAGAAAGCAATCAAACAACTAAGAGATACTTCCATTTCTTCTATCATGTTGGCACTTGGACCTGAACTGAGAAATTATCTTGACTCTAAGATGGTACAGGTTTTGACATTGATAGCCTCTTCTCTCTCTCAAGCTGCTTTAACTCTAGGTTGCTTTTTCTGAAAAGGTCTTCTCCAGTGTGCTTTTTCTTTGCAAACATCTTGGAACCAGCCCTTTGAAGGCTGAATCCTCAAGCAACGCTTGAGAAGAAACTTCCTATAACTTCAACTCAAGAAAAGGAGAAAAATAAAGAAGTGAAGGCCACCACAGAAACATACTGCACAAACATATCACGTATCAGAGCACACCATAATTTAAATAAGCACTCATACGGATGGTGAACAGGCTGGTGAGAACTAACACTACCCACGAACTGTAGCAGGTGTCAGCAATACTCATGAACTAGTAGAAATTGGCACAGTAGCCTAAACGCAAAGACAAAGGCCAGAGCCAGCACTAACCCACAGCCTTCCAGTAACTCGAGACAAAAAAAGTGTTCAAAACAACACTTCTATTACTGGCACTACTCTACATTTCAAAATTCCCCAAACACCCACGTTACAGGTTGTAGCACAACTTCTTCAAGGATGATCTGCATGGCATTCTGCAATTTAAAGTCCTCCCAGAAATAAAAGTCTATATAAACACACACAAACACTCATGAAAAGCACCACACCACAGAACAGATATGGTAGTGTGAAAGAACTGCAGCAGGGTTTTTATCAGTTTAGAGCCATCTGTGTCAGACCGATACCCAGCATTAGACCCAAGAGACATGAATTGTGCAGCACCCCTGTCTCATCTACCCCTTGGCGTCTTCAGTCTTTTTAAAAGTGTCTAGAAAGAAGAGACACAAAGGTAGAGGAACAAAGTCATTTAGTCAAAGAATAACTTGAACACAACAAACTGTCAACCCAACTTAGCTCATTTACAGTCATTTTATTCACACAGAAGCTTCCAGCTTTGATAGGCCAGCCTTACACTCAACTGTGTGATAGTCAGCAGGTATTTAAATCATTGCTTGAAAAAATTATACAAAAGACAGTAGTTTATTTTTCAACAGGCAGATGTTAAGCCTTGCTTTTCTTGCAACTCTTCAATAATTTAGGATGGTACCGGAAAGGCCTCTCCTTAGCCATTATCTCCAGCTTTTATCTGGTACAAGGATCATACTGCACAGTCCACCAGTGCATGGATACCTTTAGAACATAAACCAGGGTCATACAATTCAATTTACTAACCGAGTGAAAAGCATACAGTGAGACATTAATTTCTAAGAGAAAAAAAGAGGAAGTCATGAAGGAGACGCAAGAATTACAGGATAGAAGCCACATGAATTCTGGTTCACTGAAATCTCACCTTGCAAAAGACCAGATTTCCAGCCATGTCCAAAAGGAACTAAATTTTCAGTTCTAAAATGTCCTTGGAACATCTTGAATTTCTACTTATTCTCAGCCAAGACAGTCTGTACTCAGTTCAGATCTATAGCCACTATGCCTGACCTTAGTGCATTGTTTACTGTGAACTCAAGTTCCATACCAATTGGACTAAACTGAAAGCTGATACAAACAGGGCCAGGAGTTTCAGTGCCCACTTTTTGGTTGATTTATGTTTCCTTTTCTCACATTACACACCTTGAGCACGCTGAGACAGCTATCTGCTAAGCTATGAGAAATAGGTGCAAGTACCTGAGGACCAGCCAACCTCACCTGTGTGGCCAGGAACCCCACTTAACTCACTGTAGAACTAGAATCAACACAGTCTGAACCACAATATGAACCATTCATGGTAGCGTTGACCTGTCTTTAGACATTTTAATAATCTTTATAGAATCTTTACCACTGAAATTTTGGTTACTTCTTCTTCCAAGTCTGTTTCAAGTGATTCCAGCCATTACCTCTGGTATAGCATGTACTATTTTTGCTCGTACTAAACTTGCAAAGAAGCAGACAAGCAGTCCCCATTTCACAGAAGCCATTTTACACTTTCTCTGCTTAACAGCTATATTAACAGTAACACTGCTAGTAGTTTTATACTTAAAAATATGCAACATTCTAGGAAGCCCATTATCCCTATTATCCAGATACTACAGTGGTTCTACTAACACCAGAAACACAGATGACAGCGCAGGTGAGTTGAGAACACCTCCCCTTCTCCAGAGCTTGACAGAAGCTGGAACAATTTCTAAAGTCAGACCTGGATGGACTTGCTATACTGGTGCAGCTGCTTTGTGTGTTACTCTCCACCTTGGCAAGGCAGCAGTGCATGCCAATGCTGTGACTCTTAAAAAGATACTAGCACTTTCGCACCAAAGAAGAGGGGAAAAAAAAAACCAACAAAAAAAAAAAAGGGGGGAGGCATTTTCAAAGCATTGCAAGCATGCCTACAACAGCCAATGGCATATTTAGCTAATATGGTTAGTCTACAATATAGGTGTGGTTCTGCAAAATGTCTAGGGATAGTTCCAAGCATAAGCAATCAGCCAGTAGAGAACAGGACTGCAGGCAGATTCTAAAAGCATCCTCCCTGGAGCACACTTATCACTTGAGTCAGAAAGAGTTCCTTACAGATAAAACAGCAGAGGCATTCCAACTGTTTCCACTTTCCATCTATCCAGAAAGCTCAAGGAAAAGCACAGAATAAATCAGATTAAAGAAAATTAGAGAATGGATTGTGAAAACAGTTTTTGGTATTACAAAAAGATGTCCTTGGAAGCCCTTCTGAAGAATGATAATAATTTAAAGATCTCTTCCCTTCCTACTACAGAATGATATTATCTCTTTGCGTTCTGAAAACAGTACTGACACAGCCAAACATCTTTAGCCTCCATGTCAGCCTTCCAGAGGAAAATGGAGGTAGCATGGACAGGGATGCCAACAAATAGACCGATCATGACCAGAACTAGTTCACAAACGGGAGTATCATGCCACACAGACAGGAACCTTTTTGCAGCATCAGAGAGCAAAGCTGGACTGATTCAGGTTCTCGGTTGCTATAGTGACAGATTTTCCCATCCTTGTCATCTGCTGGCCCTTCAGCGTTGCCTCCTCTCTCCCCCTGCTTCAGCCAAATGCTTGGCTAAAGCAGCCTGCTCGCTGTACGTGCAAGACCACGCAGTCGCCACACATGCACATGCTGTGAAGACAGACTCGCAGGTAATCTGATTCAGATCAATCTCTATAGCAACCCAATCTTTAGTCCCTAGATCTTAGCCTGTTGGGTCTATTTATAGAGCAGCTGCAGCCGTGCTCCACCCCCTCCGCTCCGCTACCAAAGCTCCCAGCACTGCCCACACTACAAATAAGCTTCTCCCCAGCACAAGGGCTGCCCACAGCCAATGCTGAAACATGCCCCTTCTGGCACCTCCGGGCCCGTGAGCTAGGTGACGGCATAGTATCTGCAACACATTGAACGCCTCCCCATTGGTGAGGTTTTCCATATCCACAAATACTACAAATATCAGAAGTCATTATTGCTCGCAGAAAGCTCAGTACCAACAGCAGCGGACAAAATCTGCTTATTCAGGTACCCACAGGATGCTTCCACAGATATCCACGGCAGCTGCTCCTTTAGTCTTGCAGAAAAAGGACATGCAAAAGGACGTGCGAAGCGTGCCAATGCAAAGGTGCAACCCTAATAGGAATTTGCAGGCAGCAGCAAAGGCAAAGAAGTGGTCCCAGCAGCACCTGCCCCACAGAAGCACAGCTGTACCCACCAGCAGATATTTGAAAACCATGCGGCTGGGACATTCATCTACTAATTGTTTAAAAAAAAAAAGAAAATACAAAAAGAAAAATCAAGACTGAGGCCTTGAATGAGCCATGAGAGATAAGCATGTGAGAAAGAACGGTATGCAAATAACTGTTATCTATTTCATTCTACTACACTCTTGGGGAAAACCATCAACAATAAACTAATGCAGGAGAAACATACACTTTTACAGTACTCGCTAACAGGAAGGAGATGACAGATTTTCGCCTCAGCCCTAGTACATTTTGCACACTGCAATTTAGGTTAAAGACCTTATTCTCCTCCCCTCCTTTACTGCCTGAAATACCTCTCTCGTGATCCTCCCTGCAGCTCCTCATAGTGCAGGGCACGCAGAGCACCACTCACCATCTTCTCATAGAACATAAATTCTGGCATAAAAACCCTCTGTCAACCCAGCCAGTTCTCTTGCTCTACACTGTTCGAATTTAAATTCATCTTTTATTTAAAAATAATATCCAGAGATTTGCATGACAGAAGAGTAACACAGGAGCTTTGGCTCCCTGCCCTTCACTCTTTTCAAGTCTGTCCTTCCCCCCCCCCTTGTGCAACGTCACCATCACAAAATAAAAGAGCCTTCTCACCTATTTCTACCTCATCAGCTTTTCATCAATCCTCAAAACTCCAGTAGCAGCCGCTCGTACACTTTGCAAGGAGGCAGGGGAACGGCAACTGAAAACCTCAAAACCTACACAACACCCCCGAACTGAATTAGCCTCACCGTCTGCAACCACTATGGCAGTACATTCTTTTCTGAACCAGAACTGTTTTCAGCTCAAGTTTTGAGCTGAGTGAGAAACTTTCTTGCTGCTTTTGAGCGCAGCCTAGACAGACCCCAGCACCCATAAGATGCTTCCATTCCCAGCCCTCTGCCCAGTTCCCGTTCGAGAAGCAGGCCACAGTTCCCGTAACACAGGCACCAGCAGGTTTTTTTTCCAAAAGCCAAACACTGCAAATATACAGCCATAAAAAATTAACAGGAAAACAACAAAGCGTGTGACATTTACATTGAGAGAACTGCTGGATGCAGCTGCAACTGCTAAATTATTCAGTGCTCTCCCCTGCCACCATGCTTCCCCAGCCACAGTAAGCAGCTCTAAGCAAGGAGCTCAGAGAAGAGACTTGTACAAGAGGACAGCGGGTAGAAAAGACACACCGCAGGCAAACAGCGAGGAGTGCACCAATGACTAGTGGCTTCTCCTCTCACATAGGTTTCAAGCTATTCAACTCCTCATTTAACAGGTGACATCACTCATGGCATCACCAAATACAGGCACATTCAACTCTCCTTCCTGGAGATGGGCCCCATGGGGACAAATGACAGGCTTGCTGGGATCTTGACAATAAATTCCAGCCGTTTATAAGGCAGAAAAGGGGGGACACTCACAAGCAGTGTGGAAACACACTGAAACGTTGCTCAGGATAATGAGAACTGGAAAATAAAGAGAAGTATTTGAAATAACCCAGTTATTTGGCTGCTGTTAGCACCGCAGAGCTGGTACTCAGAGCCTCACATCTGTTTTGCCTTGTCTTAGAAACACCCAGCCTGTCTTCCTGCATGTGCGACCTGCCCTGTTATTCCTTCCCTCCACACACCTTCCCCTTCTCTCCATCAACACTGTGGAAGATCAGAAATTCCTACTCTCAAACCAATCCCACTATTAATTTTGGTGATAAATCATAGTACCAGCTGGTCAAAACCAAAAGGAAGTCAAAGATAAGAGCCCATTTTTAATCTGCTAAAGCTCTGCAACGTGACAAGCGCGTGTTTGGCAGACTCACCCACGTGTAAACACTGGGGGAAGGAACCTCAGGGCGAAGAAGGGATAGGAACCACCTCAAGGGACGGTTAGGGCCCGCAAGTGACAGAACAAGGGGTCCCGAGAGGACCTTCTGGACATCAGCAGTCACCACAGCAAAGGAAGGAGGGAAAACAACAACACCTGCTGGATGTGTCTGAAGAAAAATGAGAGAAAGAGGGGAGAAACGAGGTGGCCTAGAGGACCGAACAAGCACGCCTAGCTTGTAGCTCCAGCACAGCACAGTTTAACCGCTATCGAGTGGAAACACACAGAGACGGCAGCTGAGTGGCTCAGTGATCATGGCTGAAACAATTTTGACGAATACCGGTTTTAATTCCTAATCATCTTTATCACAAAAAGCACTCCTCTCCTCCTGCTATGTGACAAGATGCAAACGGGCAGAGGCAGAACTCCCCATCTCCTGTCACAAGGACCTTTCCAGAGCAAGTACAATATACCTAGGCAAGCAGAGATCCAGGGAAGCTGGTGTCAAAGCTATGGGCAAGATGACGATCAAACATTTGATACTGACAGCGGGAAATTCAGTTAGAATATAAAGGGAAGCAGGACACAACCAGGGTGCTGAGCTCACAGATGTGACTAAGAAAAGGAACAGCTTAAGAAAAAAAAGGCTGCTCTGCTCGTAAGATAACACACAGTTCCTGAAGGTCATCAGATATGTTACTGTCAATCTGGGTATCTTTGTCCCCTGTGTAAAAAAAACAAGGTTAATTTCCTGATTCTCACAAATACCACTTAGAACAACTGTTTAGAAATTAGTTACAAACAAAACAAAAAGGAGAGATCTGACAAACATTACATGATACATCAAAAGCAACATGACAACTAGCCCTTTTTTGAGGGCTGCCCCTGCTGTGAAATACTGAAGGCTGTGGGAGAAACAGAAAACCATGAAACTTTGTTCCTTGCTGCTACACTGATGCATTATTTCTCACAGTGACCTGAAAATGCAACAGTCTCTCATTTAACCACAATGCCTAGGAACACAGCACGAGAACTGCCTCAGCATAGGTAGTTTAGACATACATAAGCAGCACTTCTTACTTTTAAATCACTGTAAGGGCCCTGCTAGTCACGGTGATTAAAAGTAAACACAACCTCTCACAATTCAGTGGTTTCTGGGCACCAAAATGCATGGCCTCCCCATTTAGGAGTTCTCTGTTATAAAGAGATTTTAGAGCTCCTGGCAGTATGTCGTTCATTTCTTCAGAGTTTTGCTGGGTTTGGGGTTTCAGTTGGTTATTCTAGTTCCAAGAGACAAATCAGGAGCATGCTTCTCAATCATCAACACTAATTTTCATGTGGTCCTGACAGGTTTAAAGGCCTCCAGTGACAGAGACTCTAATCACTCCAAAATTATTTTCTAGCTCAGGCAACAGAGCAAAGACCGGCTGAATTATACAGGCTCAGTTAGAGAGAGTGAACAACAGGTCACTGTAACAGTTTTTCATGGCTCTCGAGGTGGAGAAGGAAAAGCAGCAAACCCTTCCGTCATCAAAAGAAATCTCACAATTATTCCACAGATTAACAGATTATCCCACTAAAAAATATTCCCTTCTAACTGACGCCTCATGCTCCTTATTTTTATTTCACTTCATGTCTCGTTAGGTCAATGACGATGCTTTTCCTTCATGAAAATTTATACCTTGAGATAGATGGAAATTGTTTAAACTGGGGAAGTGGTATTAACCTTGCATATCAAGCTCTTTCATTCTTGTTTCTAAATCCTTTCCTCATTGCTGCAAATCCCAAATCAGTAGCTATATTCTGTATTTTCTACTAGTGCGTTGAATAACTATGCTAAAACCTTTTTGCTAAGGGGCTGCTGGGAAATTTAACACAGTATATCTTAAATGCAGGCACAGTAAGGCCAAAGGACATTTGCAGGAATTAATCTGGGTTGTAACATATGCATTGTCTGCCTCCGATTCCTTCCTAACGGAAATTAAGTGAAACATTCAAATCTGTACTTGGTTTTAACAAAAAAGTATCAATTCCCATGTTGTGAGCATGACAGCACTACCCACCTAGTTAAAAACCTACAGTGTGAAATGACAGCCAAGTCACTAAATTTTACATCATTTGTTATCCACTCTCATGCACTAAATCTCTAACAGTATTTTTTCTCCAAAAAAAGAAAGTAATTTCTCTAACAAATATATCTGGGAAGAAGTATCACAGAAAATCTATTAGCTCAAGTGCTGTAAATTAAAAGTCATTAACAGATTTATTCTCTTAGAATTCAGCAGTACTTGTGACTTGCTAATTTAATACCAGAAATTTTCATAAATATTTGGGTTTTCAACCGACTGATTGCAAAAGATATTAAATAGATCAGACTGAACATCTTTCCAGAGTATGTCTAGTATACCCTGTCTATACATAACTTGAATATTTGATACAGCTTGAGGTGAGAGGGGAAAAAGCTATAAATGATGAGCCTCTGTGCCCCTCACCCCAAGCCAGATAAAAATCAAAGCCAACATTAATTTAATTTAGGAAGATGATATGAACAAGTGTTTTAGTAAGACTTGAGATGCACTGATGCCTCCAGCACTTCTACTACACCATCAATCCTGATATTCTAAAAACTAAAAAGCTACTTTGGCTAGGTGGGCAAGGCTTAGTGTTAAAAATCCTTGAAACTTTTATTTCACTGTCTCCAAAATCCTTCTGAAACAGGCTGAAGTCGGACTTCATTACATACACACCCTGTCTGCTTTCAAAAGAGTTACAGAACGGTATCAACATTGAAGGAGAGGTTTGCCCTTTTTATGTTTTTCCATGAAAACTTTAAACCAGAAGACCTATTTTTTTGCCAGTTGCTACACAGCCTTTGGTTCACTACCATTCATGCCTTTGGTACATAACCCATACATCATAGAAATACATCTTGGACATATTATGCGTTTTGTATGGACAACATTCTTTCAGTGTGGACATTACTGGATGGGAAAAAGGAAAATAAAATTAGAACGGTTTTAAAAATAGTAATGGTGTGGAAACTAATGCAGTAGGACTCCGAAGCTTACAGCTTGAAAGCCGTTAATTTGGTAAAAACACAAAAGTCCAGACTTGCGATACAACTGCAGCACCGCTGGATAGGCATGTGCAACATCTTTTAGTGCAGACAAGGCTATTTTCCAAACGAAAGTGTTCTAGAGACTTGCTGATGATTTTGCATTTCATGAAACACACAGTAAGATGCTTAATGAGTGTATAAGTAATTCCAGGGTATATTAAATTGGGTCCAAAAGCTATGCATTTTCTAACAACACAACAGTAAAGCAAAAGAACTATTTTATAGCTGGAACGATCAATCAATTCAGTATTACATAACATGTTATGAGGGGATGGCCAGATTAGATCCCACAAAAACTACATTTCAGCTATGTTAGATGTCAGAGCTGCTCTCTCTCTGATGTGTCAGGATTGCAGATTTTCATTAGTGCTGAAAACAGCAAGTACTTCTTGTGCCCATCCAAAACAGTTCCAAGGTTCAAGCAGTATGAAGTCCAAAAATGGAGACACTTCCCAAATAACCTATATTTGGATGACTTTGGTTTGGTTACGTTACCCTGAAGACACCACAATACATCTTCCCACCCCTTGCTTCCGTCTACCAGTAGCATCCTTTTTGCAGAGAAGTGATGCTGCAAAGAGCACAGCAAGGACACTTGAGAGTATACCAACAGAAATGCTGACCCAGAGTTGCACTGAATGTAGAGAAAATGGCTGGCTTGCCTAGGGAAAGCACAGTGTATTGCCAGATTCACAGCTCTACCTTATCTCCGTGGGGCTGCGAATTTATAATGTATGTTATTTTGTGTATGTCTGAAAACAGCACGGTATATGGGTGAGTTGGGGGGGGGGAGAGAGAGAAGAAAGCCAGACAACAAACCAGTTTCCCCAAGGCTTATCATTTCCCTAAGCACTTCTTTATCGTGACTCCACACAAACAGTAACGCAGACCAAGCTTTCTTCCCCTCCTCCGCCTGAAAATATAAGTGAGCGACACAGCAAGGTGGCGACACCCATTTCTAAGGCGAAAATGCTCTTGATTTATAGGTTACTTCATGAGAAATTGCCCAGTATAAAGCGGATTTCCTATTCTATTGTCGCGGGGAGTAACAGGATCTGCTGTTTACAAACCAAGGAGCAAAAAGCACCTTTCCAGCCACATTACTGCAGCAAAATCCCTTCACGAAGCCGCACACCTAACCTCTTCGAAGGGGATCGGTCCGCTCTGCGTCTCCCTTCTACCTGCCCTAACTGTCCTGCGCGCTTCCTCCCGGCAGGGAGCGGGGAAAAGCCGCCGGGAGGCCCAGCCCCGGCCCTGCCCGCCGGCCGCCCCGCTG